CCATCACTCCGCTACCCTCCCCGCACCACCACTATCCGTTTAAAACATAGTTAGACTTGCCACCAGCAAGATTGCCCAGCAACATTGCTCAAAAAGTTGCCCCGTGTATCATCAGCCTTAGGTGAGAATATTGCTGCCACTCTCATGTCTGGAGCCAGTTAGCTTAGCTTAGCATAAAGACTGGAAACAGGGCAAACAGTTAGACTTGCGCCATCGGTGAGGGTTCTTGACACTTGCACAGTTGGGGGTGGGACAGCACTGGGCAGCGTGATCCTCCGTGTGTCCTTCCAGTGAAGATTAAGTTAAAAACCTTCAGCTCTTCTTCACTCCTTGATAGCTTGATTTTTCAATTGCATGCTGAGCAAATCTACTCCATTTGGTTTTTCATTTTCTATAACAATTGCCTTTTTGTGTGGTCTCTTTAATTTTGGCATTTTTCATTGGACAGCTGATAGTATAGGGTAGACAGGAAAAAAAAACAGAGAAACAAGGGTATGGCATTCAACAACGGTGCCTTGGTGGAATCAGACCGGTAGATTGCACTTCTAGGGTGTGCATCTTCACAAGCAGCTACCGTACTCAAAACTGGAATTTTAAATCAGTTTCTTCAACTTTTCTGTGAAAATTGCAGCATAAAATTAGCAAGGTATATGATTTACTGTTGGATATTGAGCCCTGTCGTTTCCTGCACACAGGATTTGTGGTTTGTCAAGTGATATAACTCTAATCATACCTGGAGGTATCCTGGGGGGCTAGAAGTTTAAAAGCACTGACCGTGAGTCCAACTGGAGACCTTTGTTCATTCCCCATGGTTGTTTCCCCCCCAGTTCCTGTCAACTCCCTAATAAAAGGCATGAAATACCAACACTGAAAAACAACTTCACTCAGTTGTTCGATATGACATGTCTTTCTGATTGTAAAAAACTCAAAAACCTGTGTATTTGGTGAAACACTTGTTATGTGTGGGGGCGACTAGTCTTCTGGTAATCTTCCAATCTTCCCGTTACAGGCTGTGGCGGATGGTGGCAGTGCTGCAGCCCCCTCTCCTCCCCTCATCTCTCTCGCTCTCTCTGGGCCCCTTCTTGAGGCAAGCCCGTGAGAACGTTGTACTTTTCCTGGAAGGCATGGCTATGTGCAGATCGAAGGGAGGGATGGAACCCGAGTGGGTAGTCATCAGCGCAATAACATGTGCGCACGTCACAGGGCTGGCTCGAGGGCCCTGTGGAGTAAACCACAGAAGGCCAAGAATTACCGCTGCCTTTCCTTTTCAATTACAGAAAGCTTAAACACCTCCGGCGGGACCACGGAACCTTCCCATCCAGCACTCCAATTAGGAGGAAACTCTTGCTTTCTAACAATCTACAGTTAGGCTACTTCCTTCTTGTCCAAGGCCACCTGAAATAACTTTGCTCACATCCTGGCAGCTGCAGTGTGACAGTGAGATGCGGTTATGACTACTTTCACACAGGGTGGCTGCTGTGCTTTCTCTACAACTGCCTCTTGTTGTCACAGAGGGATGTTTGTGAATGATTATCCTGTTGTGTTTGTCAGGTTTCTGATGTGGGAGTAAAGTATGGTCTCCTAATCCGATTACAATGGTCTGATAACCTCTTACATGACTGTAGATGTCTCACCATAAACATCTATATCCATAAAATCTTAAAATAAAAACAGCCAGATATGCTAAAAAAGGTCATTCCTTAAACTGATTCATGACTTAGAAAATATGTCAGCACACTTCACATAATGAAGGACAGCTTAGCTGGTAGAGAGACATGTCCATCAAACATAACACTGAACCCACAACTGACGTAAGTGTCTGGAAAAAAAGGGTAGTGGCATTGGATAAAAGCATCTCCCAAATTAAATGATTATAAAGTAACAGGTAACCGATCACAATGAACATTCAATCGCCTCTGTTTTATTCAAGGGTCAACAAGTCTTGTGTGGTAATGGTAAAGTGCTGAAAGATTAAAAAGGTGGCTCAAAGTTTTTTTACTGTCCCTTAGAGGGGAACTGGTCAGCCAGGATAATACATAAACACCAACAACACCTAAACACTGATGGACAACAACAAACAACAGGGCGTAGGGACAATGATTCTATTCAGCGTTTAGCATTTAGTATTCAGTGTCAGGGTCAAAGTACAAAAAATCTATCTACCATTTAACAAGTAAACTGCAGTAAGGAAACTTTATATCTCTTGGCCATATATGTTGTTGGGAACAACTGAGATTTGGGAGTTAAAAAGGAGGGTCGATGTTGTTGAAAATTTTAATTACACATTAATCTTGTGAAACAGCGTCTGACTCCGACATTAAAAAAGCTGGTGTTCAGATGCCAAATCTCAAGTGCCTTATATATTTATACCCTTTTTTCAACCAATAGTTCAAACAGCAGTTTTGCACTAATGGCACCACAGATCAGCTCCTGCGCTAACTAGTGGGAAACTCTGGCTTCTGAGGAGGCACTCTGTTGTGAGCTCAAAAATAATCCCTTAGAGATTGTGTCACTGCATATGGCCAGAGCATACGTGATTTATATTAATCACAGAAATCACGCTAAAGCACCAGCATTATCATTATATTAAGAATTTGTGACAGTTCTACGGGAATCAGTTTATAAGGCTGAACAACATTTAAACAAACAAATATTTTTCCGAACAAGCATTCTTCATTTTGGTGGTGTGCTTATTTCTCTTTACTCATTTTAAAGTCAGATACAAAAACCTACACAGTGCACATCTTAACTACCTTTCCTCATTGTGTGCTAAATTAATCTGTCCACTGAGTATCAGTATGTGTTCGGCCATTCACCATGAACTAAACTTTGTTTAAGATTAGTCATGAACGACCTTTGATAGTGTTTATTTTCTATCAAGCAGTGACATGATTGTTAACATATTGGGTGTAATTTGCATAAGTTACAATGCAACAATTTCAAGTGGAAACAATATTCTGCACAGCCCCAGTTTACAATTTATGCAGCAAGATACTCCACAATCTACTCAAGTCAAGACACAGACAGATACTGCAACTTGATGGAGTCTTAATATCACCAGACCGAAAGGTGCCGTAAACAAAGTAGTAGTACCTGATAGCGGGTATCCTGTCCAGTCGGGACTCAGGGCTCCAGGCAAGAGCATCAACCCGCAATTCATGATGGAAAGCTCGAAGAACATTGAATTCAACTCCCTCAATCTCCATATCCTCCTCCTGTGGGAACATGTATGTGTTCAGAAAGAAATATACCACGCATTAATGTAGGTAAACCAGGTTGTGTGAAGCTGCATCTCTAACCTGGAATAGGCAGGTGCCCACTACCACATACTGGTTTCCACCGTAGGCCAGGAGTGAGGCAGGGGTCCCAGAGCTGAAAGGACTGAATTCAACCACATGAACATAGTCCTCACATGCCACAGTGTAACTGGGAGTGCGGCTCGAGTCGTCCTGCATGCTGTGTGTCCTGGTAAAGCTGGTTTCAGATCAGAGCTTTCACTGTAGAATGAAAGACGACAGAGAACCGTTTGTCTAATGTTCGGTGTGATCATCCAAAAATTTACGTTTATAACTATGAAAAGAGCAACATCTGCTAAAGGCATTAACCTGAGCTAAGGTAGGCCAAAATATCATGAGATAATATAAATTTGATGAATATAGCATACTATCATACCAAGGGAGCCATTCTTTAATATCTCTATTAGGCCATTGGTTTTTGCATTAATGTGGTTAAGTGCCTTCATTAATTAGCGGGATTAGCCAAATACAGCCATTCCTGCTATTTTATCCATCAACAGTTCCTCTCATTTTCTATGCTGCAATATATCAATATCAGAACATAGAATTGCAGATCCATGATATATGATTGTATGTATATCCCCTCACTCCTAGCTTAAGCAGGTGTACTTAATCTATAGTGAAATAAAAACGTGAGAATGCAAAGTGATTTTATCTAGTAAACAAAAAACTCAATTATGATACATTATCAAGAGACAATTTGGCATAATGCTGACTGCTCTTCTTCAGTTTAATGACTATAACTAACTACTAATAAATAATTGTTCCTCAACCTGTGAATAGCACCGTTAAACCAGACACACTTAATGTATGCACTAGAGAGGTTTGTCAGGCAGCTTGGAGAGGACGTCAGACCAAACATTGTTCAAATATGTGATTATTTTATGTATACTACAAGGCACAGACGCTTGCATAGTAGGGCATAATGTGGATATTTTTCTCAAACTATATAGGTCATCCTTCAACTCGGCAAACATAAAACACACAAAGCAGTGTTTATTTGAGATATGTGGAACTTAAACCTAGCTGGGGCTACATTAGAGGTTAGACTAATAACGTTATTCCCACAATGAACCAGTAAAGATGTAATTAAACTACAAATGCCGAATTCTGCATATGACTTACTGACTCGCTAGCTAACGTTATGATGCACCCACAGCTCCTGTGTTCATGTATCTATCGTAACACATAAAGGTAATGTGTCACCTGGCAAAGAGCTAAAACGTGACTGCTATCTGGCTCAGATCTAAGTGCACAGCTAGCTAGAAATTAGCCAAACAAAAGTTTATATTGCCTGTTTTTACAATTTAACGCTCCGACTGATAACTTAATAATTACCTCTTGGTTATGGGAGTCTATTCCGATTCAGAATACAGTACTGAAATACTTAACCACTTTATTTTTAATAGATCCCTTGAATCAAATGGTGCGCGCGTTTGACAAGTCTTCATGCTTGTTCCGGTTTCGGCTTGGAATATACCATTGAGTACAAACGTCATGGGGGATTTCGCGCAACGTAAATGGAAAAACATCTAAACTCCGTCGCGATATATTGGTATAACGTTGAGCAGCAAAGTTTAGTTTGTGATAAACAACATTTTGTAGTATTCTGCCACGAAACTATAACAAAAATGAGTGTAGAAGATAAATACTTTTTGTTGAACATCTCCCATTCATGTCTACCAGAAGCTGATAGGTCAGGATGCAGTAACGTCATCGGCAATTTAAAATTTGAAACAGCTGCTTCAGTGTTCTCGGAGGCTATCTGCACGCGCTACTACAATATTAGAGGTTTGCGTCATTAAATTAACATTGTGATATACTCTAACCATAAACATAGGATACTCTTAGTTATGTTTCTGAATCTTGTATGAGCTGACATCAACACATTGCAAATAGAAGGTTAAGCCATCTCTGTACTATTGTGCCACCGAGGCCAACGAACCACATGTTTATATGTTTTGAGAGCGTATTTTAATTTTGCTGCTGTTTCAGGTGAAAATGGAGGCTTTAGGAGACCGTCTAAAGGTGATGGTTAATCGCTTCAGGAGAGAGTGCCACACGGTTTTACAATCTGAGAGGACCACCATACATGGAGCTGATGGCATGCTGATGGTGCTGCAGCTGGCCATGGCTGAAGTTAATAAGCAGGTAACAGTTCATTCCTTTTAATTAAAACAGTCTCTCTCTAATTCGATTCCATTCAAAATACTTTATTCATCCAAGAGCAATTTGTGGCAGAAAGCTTCCAAACACAAATAACTTATTCACCCAAATAAAATTAAACTAATGGAATACTGATGACTAACTTGAAATACCAATATGTTGATGTAAGGAAAATTGCTGAAATACACATGGGTCAATGGCAGTGGCAAACCCATAACTGCCAACAATACCCAACACCTTGTGTCAAAAAGTGCATAAATCTATACGCAAGGTAAACCAACCACTTCTTGTACTTTGGCTATTGGTAATCTTAAATACCTTTTCGGGGACTTATTCAGTATAAAGCTGTGCGAGGGATCTCTATTTTGCTGATCATTAGTGCTGAAGCTAACCACTCCTTGCAATCTGTTCTTGTCCTCCTCCACACGCCCCCCACAAGGGGATGTAAACCAACAAATAAAAGAAAAGGTTAATATACTTTCAGTAAAAGAGGAATGTAACATTGTCAATATTCCCTGTGTTCTTGCTGTAAGTCATCCAGCGGCCCAAAAACGAAGCTGTGCGAGCCAAATTCACATCATCATCACGACATAATTCTATTGAACCATCAGGGTGACTGTCATCACGTCTATAACTGATGACATTACCACAGATTTCCGGCTGAGACCGCTCATGGCCCACTTTTGGACTGCAGGAGAAGGTCTTTCTGCTTTTGAACTGATTGGTTCCAGGCTGTCAGTAATTATGGCTGGTGCTTTCACTGTTTTTTCTCTTCCTGTGACAGCATGGCGGAGAGTTCAAAGTGGCTCTGAGTGATGTCCTGATGGCCTGGAAACACTTACTGTTAGACAAACTTCACCTGCCACCCCCCAACTTTGCACGCTTGGAGAACTATGATCTCATCCTGGAGGCATACGAATCCTTCCTGAAACGCTCCAACACTGTGGACCTGGTTGATATCCTCTCCATGTACAAACAGCTGAGACTAGTGGACTCGGACCAAGAGGACCCTGTGAGCCCGGTGAGCAGGAGCTGGTTGACATCAGAGTGATGATGTTGATTGTGGATGATCAGATTGGCTACTGAGTTAAAGATCAATCGATTTATCTCTCTAAATACTTTATTTATTCTTTCACCAAGATCCAGCTGTTTGAGTTCTTATCAGGCAACACGGAGGTCTCAGAGTTGCCAGACTCCTCTGTCCCGTCAACGCCGTCTTGTAAAAGCAAGCCCTGCAGCTCACAGGTAGGCCCAGTCCTGCTTTCATACACTAATAAAAAGGTGCAACTTATTTTATAAATGACTTTAAGAAACCCCTCTTTCCACTTTGCCCTCTACCCTCATAAAAAATGTTTTTCAGGAAAATGAAATGCTTTTTCTCCCGTTGGCAATAATCCATGCATTTACTTTCCCAGTCTTCAGTGTACTCGTCTGGAATCCATCCTGCTGTTATTGACAGGAACACTATGTCATATATCACTTAGTTTTAAGAGCGCAATGTGAATGCAGTTACTAGGCAGATGTGTAAAACAACACAATGTGCGGCTGTGTCTCTTTTCTCTACTCTTCTCTGTCCCTGCTGAATTTATGAGTGTTTTTTTAGTGGAGGAGCTTGCTGCTGCACTACCAGCTAGAGTGATGTCATTATTGGAGGTTAATACGGGCTGTTAGCTACTGTTTTTAGTGGTTTTACTCCGGCAATAAAGCTACTGTCCCTTTTTGGTAGTTCATAAACACAACCTGGATTACTACTACTAATAGTAGTAGCAATGTATCATGTCTGTCAGTTGCTTAGCGTAGCACAAAACTGAAAATCTGTTATATAGGGACAAAATCCTCCCTTCAAATTTCTCTAAAGCTCACTAATTATCATGTTTGATCTCGATTGTTTAATCTATACAAAAATGGAAGTGTAGAACATGGTTTTTGTACAGGTTAAACAAGGTTTTATTTTTTATTTTCTGTTGGCTTTGGAGGCCTTTGATTTCCTTACCTTAGATAGAGCCATGCTAGCTGTTTGAGTTTCCAGTCTTTGTGGTAAGCTAAGCTAACCAGCTGTAGCTTCATGTTTACCCGACAGACATGAAAGTGGTATAAATCTAACTCTCCAACAGAATTATATTTGATTAACTGATGTTTTTTCCAGATGTTTTCTAACCAAAAATGCTAATCTATTTATTATCAATAGGTGAAAATGGCAGTCAGAAGGGTTTTCTGCTCCTATCTGAATTTGCTTGTGAACGCCAAGAATGACATGGCCTTGGCGCTAACCCTTGACGTCCCTAGTCGCACTCTTGGACGACAGGCATTTACCGACATAAAGCACGCTGCACATAACAACAACACTTCTCTGTTCTTGGTAAGAAACATCCACATACTTGTCTTGTGCCTAGGCTTTCGCGAGGATGTTTTCAAACTTTACATCACTAGAAAATCATCAACTATGACATTTAAAATTGGAGTAATCCTCTTTGGTGCAACATTTGAATCTCTTTCATGCTTTTGCAGGCTGTGACATCTTTTGTGAGGGCCATCCAGCTCGGAGGGAAGGGCTACGCTCCAGCTGAGTCTGACCCACTGAGGAAACATGTCAAAGGCCTGTCGGACTTTGTCCAGTTTCTAGACAACCTGGAAGAAATACTCGGGGAGACTCCTGACCCAAGGTACACAATGCAGCTTAATCCAAGCTTCCACTTGCTCCCTGTCTTGCTGTTGCTTTTGACTTAATGCCTCCCTCCCTGTGACAGAATGGACTGTAAATGGGAGGCTGGGATGTGCTGCTTTCAGGACTGAAACTGTAAATTCTTGATGAATTCCAGTTCAGCTTTTGAATATAAATCAAATTTGAATTGAAGTTGTGAAAGTGGTGACAGAATTGCAATGCAAATGTTTTTCTCAGTCATCCATGTCATTGTTATCCAAGGAAGGTTAAAATCAAGGGCCGCTGGACTTGGTTAAAGATACTTCCCATTCCGAGGGGCTTCATCAATTCAGAACTGTGGCAAAATGTCTTTAAGTATCTTCAACCAAGTCCAGTTGCAATTGAATTTAACCTTTCCTGGAAATTACAGGGTGGTAGTAGTAACAAACACAAAAAGGAAAATAATGCTTTCTGGCGAAGGGTAGATGAGATTGATTCCACTAGGGATGGGACGCTTGATACTGACGTGTCGACACTGTCGAGATCCCGAAGCGCAGACGTTTCAAATCACTGCTCCAAAGCGTGGTTCAAAACGTCAATGTCACATGACCTGAGGCTTCGGTGCACTTCACCCCTTTTTCGACAAGTGGCACACCTGCCGCTTCTACGCTTCAGTGTTTGGAGCAAATCACCACTCATCTGCTTGCCTCTAAGTCCCAGAAGGCTTAAATGTCAAGCAAAAAAAGAGAAGAAATATTTTGAGAGATAGCAACATATAGGCCTAGAGGGATTGGCAGTGGTGATTTCACTGATTTCACAGCGATTTGGGACAGATAATAGTAGGCCTAACATGTTAATAGTGATAGCTTGGATACATTTAGTGGCATATAGGCCTATAGCCTAGTGATAGAGATGGTGATAGAGACAAATAGCATTAGACAGGCTAGGTGTGTAGCCTATAAAGATAGATAATGGATAGTGTAAATTAGAATGGAGAATCCACGTAAGAGGCCCCGATCCCTGGCGTGGGGACACGCATCATTCACAGTGCAACTGCTAATGCCACTGTAGAGGTAAAATATATTTGACAGATGCTTTTGTTCCAAGGACACATGATCCTTTGATTTATTGGCAGGTGCTGTGTATCCGCACCTGTATATAATGGCAAAAAAATACACATGTATGCCAGAAACAAGTGTTCCATGTGAACAAATATTTTCCAATGCTTGGCATGCCATTTATGAACAGGAAAACTAATGACTCTGCCCCAAAACAGCATAATATTTCTTGATAAATAAATAAAATTCTTGACTTATAACAAATATGAGACATTGTTCCACTTTTAATTTATCATTCTTGTAAAAAAAATCTTCAACTTTACTCAGTTATGGGTTTTTGATATAAATAACTGAATGAATAATAATGATGGTTATTTATTATTATTACACTAGGGCCTATATCTTTCCTCCTATTATTACACCTCTGTTAATAAGCTACTGTATAATACTGTAGATATCCATATGTATTATAATTTATTATATTCTTAGATTCACTTGTATACTTTATTATATTCTCTACTTACGAACTTCAACTATAATACTAAAATACGATTACAGTGTGGCAGCGGTGTAGTGGATAAGATGCATTCCTTTGGTGTCCCTGAACAAGACACTTAACCCCTAGTTACTCCAGAGGCGCGCGACCTCTGATGGCCTTTCATATAGCAATTGTAAGTCGCTTTGGATAAAAGCGTCAACTAAATGACTGACTACACACAGATGTGTTTTATTTAAACACACTTTTATTGCAATCCCCATCTGCTGTCTCTGACAATCTGAAAGCGTTTGTGTGTTTGTTGTATGGTGGTTTCTCTGAAATCCTGTTGGCCACGTACTGATAGACGTTTAGAATTGTAAACGCTGGTCATTGTTTCAATAAAACCCCTATCAAGATGTGTCAATATCAAAAGTGACCAGTAGATATCACCGTGGAGACGGGTATTCGAGTGTTTCGAAGCCTCGATATAATTCAGGTACAATTGCTTCAAACAGTTCAATGTTTCACAAAGCCTCGCTTTGCCCATCACTAGATTCCACTCTCATGTCTGTCATTTAAATATAAAGCTGCAGCCAGCAGCCAGTTAGCTTATCTTAGCATAAAGACTGGAAACGGGGAAACGGCTAGCCTGGCTCTGTCCACCAACCGGCACCTCTAACTTCACTAAACTAACGCATTATATCTTGTTTGATTTAATCCCTGTCTAAAAAGTGTTAAAATGACAATTCATTGCTTTTCAGTTTATGTGCCAGATTAATTCTTGGCCTGGCACAGTGACTTCCTGGAGTCTCCGTGGTCATGAATATGTAGTGTCTTTTATTTTTATTTATTTTTAATTTTTTGCTTTTTAAGGCTACATAATTTAATAACAGTTGGGCACTGTAGGTTTTTTTTTTTTTAATTTTTTAACAAACCTCAAGCCATGAAATGGTTAGAGCAACTTGTTTTCCATAGTAACTACATTCCTTAATCAGGGATAAATCTCTTATTTGTAGGAGCTTATCCTAAACATGCCAGAACAAACAACTTTTGATTTCAAATAATGCATCATTACAAAATGCTGTATTTACTTTGTTGAAGTCTAATACTCGTAAAAATATATTCCATTCCCAGAGAAATCATGCTGAGCTGATTAAGGGAATACACAGATTCCAAGAAAAGTTGAGTCCACTTCAGTATCTGGCAGTGACGGAGGTCAAATGCAGTGAAGCTCATGATTTATGACGGAGTGGGATTTTCTTTGAATTGCTTTGCTTATTCCTGCAATTCAAGTTCAGGTTAAATTCTGTTTCCTCTCTGGTGTAGCCAATTAAATTCTCCTGAATTGGATTATGAAAGCGGAACTGAGCTCAGCTGTGTGTGGGTAGGGGTGGGGGGATCCTGGTAGGAATATTTCCAGCCGGGTGTATTGGCCTGCCAGACACCTGTGCACTGAAATCACACCTGCGATCATAAAATCCACCTGTCCCACTGCAGCTCGTTATTTCTTTCAAATCCCTGTAATGACTCCCATCTAAGCTTCTCATGATAACATTTGGATTGCTAAAGCATGTTCATCTTTGCTACATCAAAGCCTGTCTTTGTTAAATAGCTTGTTCCCTGTTTGGAGCTCTTACTTTGATGAATTATCATCAAACCTCGAGCTCCACAGATCCTTCTCCATACCATTACAGATTATTTTTGATGTCAAAGCATTTGGCACCACAACAAAAGTGGTTATCAGAAATTTAGATTTAAGCCGCTCAATCATGTGAGGTTGGAGCTTTTGAGCTGAAGCTGTTGAAGGCACCCTTTGTAGCAGTCCCAGTAGCAACCTTTCCTTCACTCAGCCGAGCCAATACATTACACATGTTATGTGATGTTTGTGTAGTAGTGGATTCGACTCACGCTGCTCTTCTGAGGGTTCTCAGTTCATTCAATATGATGAGAGCACTCCACGTCTGATGAGACACTGAACTCAGCCAACACGTGTCTTTCAACAGGCAGTGCCTTTACGCTCTCTGTGGAGTACTGTATTTCCTCATACAAACACCTTCTATGGAGAGTTCAGGGCCCCTTGTTCACTTAACATCTGTTTTCCCAAATGATTCTGTTACCGAGCCCCGTTCGCTCACATCAGCACTGGGTCAGGGTTGGACCACCGCCTCTCCACCTTACTGCGATCTTTTCTAGCATGCTTTAGCACACTTGACGGTAAGAAACCTACAGAAGTGATATGTTGCTATGATTTTTGGACATGCTGCACCGACGGTGTGCGAGCATGGATGAAAATCCCCCAAAACTATAAAGAGGAAAATCTCTGTAGAGTTTCTCTGCTCATAGTCCATCAGTGAGAGCAGTGACAGTGCCCAGGGTGACTTAAAGGGATTTGGAGCATATTTTCTGCTTCATAACTGTTAACATTGGCAAAACTGCACTACTGTGAAATAAAGCTCAACTGGATGTTAACACCGAAACAATTACTCTGAGCCCTTAAAGTCAGTGTCCAATTAATTGAAAGTGAAGCTACAGTATATCTTTTGAAGACATACAGACGAAGGCCGTGGCTTTTCTGGGTTTTTAGTTTTAGGAGAGAGTTATTCATGTTGGCAAATATTGGCTGAACTCTTGAACACTATTAATTCCATCCAGATGAAAACCTGTATGTGTTCTGCAGAAGAGAAAGAGAAAGAGACTTTGCTTTCCAAAATAAATGCAGGTATCTTTGGGGTTTTTTTGGTTTTTTTTGTTTTCGCCAACTGTGCACAATACATCTCTCTCAGCAGATGCCACTGTGACTGTCACTGTTTGATTCTCAGTGTATGTGGAGCCAGGCTGGTGACTGCCATCAGGGCAGTACTGGTGAAGGGACGCAGCAGTGGAGATGCAGTCTACGCTGCAGCTGAAGAGACAACAAAGGAACTGAAGGACAGGATCTGCCAGCTACACCAGATCCAGAAACAGTCTGCTAATGGAAGCGCAACGGGGATAAGCCCTGCCAGGGTAATGTACAGCCTCTGCTCTCCAGCCAGTCTGCTACAGTTTTGGCTTTTGTTTCTCTCCTGAAATCCATACATTCACACACTGAATGACTGTGCCCTGATTGTAATTGTGTTGCTGTACCTCTCCAGCCAAAGGCCTACGCAGTCAATCATGCCACTGCGTATGGAGGTCGGGACACTGTGAAGGTGCTGATGGCTCTTCTGGATGAAGAAGCTCTTACTCCTCTGTGTCAGAACAAGGCAGACCTGCTGTGTGAGGACCAGCCCATCCTCAGTGGAGCCGAGGGGACCTGCATCCTCATGATGTTCAGGTTGGCACAAATTGTCATGCACTTCAAACTTGGATTGAACTGAAATAACTGTTCTATTTCTAATAGAGAGCATATGTTATATAAAGATTATATTATATTAATCTTGTGCAGACTTATAGCCGTGCTAGCAGTGACTCTAGAGATGGCAATGCCGGTCTGTTGGTCCGTCCACTATTGGATGGATTGCCATGAAATTTGGTCCAGATATTCATGATCCTTTAGATGATATATCCTACTGACAGAAAATGTTAGTTAGACTTGCTAAACAAAGATGGTGAACGTGGTAAACATTATACCTGTGAAATATCAGCATGTTTGAATTGTCATTGTAAGCATTTTGCCATGCTAGCGTTAGCATTTAGCTCAAAGTACCTCTGAGCCAAAGTACAGCCTCACAGAGCCGCTTGAATGGCTGTAGAGAAGTGCTGAAATTATCAGATTAATCAGTCAACAGAAAATATGTCAATGCTTTTTAATTTTGATTCATTAGTCATCAATATTTATTTTTATTGGTATCATTTCATTTTTTTAAATTTTTTTTTTTACAATTGACGAGCCTTTATGTTGTACAGGCTAAACAATGTAATTTTTGAATCATGCAAAATAGCCAACAGATTAACCCAGAGTTAATCAATTGTTAGTTGTAGCCAAACAGCCGTAACTTGGACAGAAGATCTAAATCTGTAAAACAGACAATAACCAAGCTTGTTCTGCATGAAGCTAACCTAGCTCCAGAAATACATACAGAGCAATAGTAATCTTGTTTTTACCACGCCTTTCATTATAGACGAAATAAAAAACACTTTCTGTAACGCACCATACTGTAGCACCAGTGTACTGGAACAGTCAATTCTTAAATGTAGATGCTTTATTACATCCTTCAGGCGTCAAGTACAACATTGGTTAATTAAATGTTAATATTTTACGATGAAAAAGTAATCTCACAGAGCTTTGAATTAAATTTGACCCTTTTCATTACCACAGATTCAGAGTGGGAAAGCCCCTGAAACAACAACTAGACCAACATGAGACTCTACAACTCTCCAGTAAAACCATATGGAGGAAAAACCTCCCACACCACACTGGAACAATCTCTCTGGTCAAACATCTGAAATAAAAATAATAATAAAAAAAGAATAGCCACTGGCTGTGGTCAGGGGGGAACCTACATAACGTCTGAGGTGGATGACATTGAATGGCTGATATCCAATTTGGTGCAAAAGCGCATCACCTCATTCTGACCTTAGTGAAAACATCTTTTACATGTTGTGTAAAGCTGCGATAAAGAGAGACCAGATTGTTTAAGAAACAGTGGATCAGTTTCTTGGTTAGTGTGACGATGTAACCTTCTAGCTTCTCTTAATTTATAAACTTCTTGTCTTTGCTTCTCATTGTGGCTCACCCCTCAGATCCCCTGAAGTGCCTACTGGATGTTCTCCAGAACCTCTAAGGAACCGAGTCCAGAGCCGGCTAGACCTGCTCAAACCCAAGGTAACGTGGGCCCCTTCATCCAAGAGCCCCAAATCCAAACCATCAGTTACTTCAAATTGAATCAGATGTACAAACATTGAAAATAATGTCTTTACATCCTGTAATTTCTGCCTGGTATTATATTATTTATTTTCTTAGCTGAAGCTCACATCTTAACTGACTTTCACCGTTCCCGTTTGCACAGCTGTGTTTCAGCTCTTAGTGTTGGTTTGAGGGTGCTGTTTAAATCCATAGCATAAAACGACTTACTCGTGGGAGATTCAAACCATTAACCAATCCTGATAACTTATCCTATTGTCAGGGCTCAGGTCCATTTGCTTACAGTGCACAATATAACGTACTGTATATCTGATATCAATACCTCTTCTTTCCTGGATGTGAGCTCAGCTGTTTTATTTTTTTACAGTAATGTTTTCTGGCGTCAGTGTGAAAGAGTCACATTATGATTATATAGTTTTTGTTACCAACAAGACTTTTCTGTTTGTGTGCTTTTTGTTTTTTCAATTGAATCTGTAGAACAAAGACAATTATTTCATCAGACTCTTGATTTAACACTCAGTTATGATTTATGATGATTTAGAAACATTGTTGCCATTACATAGTTTGTCCACCAGATAGTGCTGACTAGTTGATTATTTCCGCTGTAAAATATCCCACTCAGTATATATCTTGGTAAAAAATCATTTTAAATGGAAACTCACTCACTGATTTTCACACATTTCTTGGGGAGTTCTACTGAACATGTGAAACAAGTTGTGTAAAGCCTTTTGTGTCTCCAGAGGGAGCTGAGTAGTCACTTGAGATGTCCTCAAGTGATGTCACTTGAGTCGGCTGGGGCTGAAAACTACAAGTTTGAAAATTAAGAAAATCTGGGGGTGTGGAGTCGGAAAGAAGTGAGCTCACCAGACCTCTGTAGCCCCCTCCTCATCTCTGGTGCAGGCTAGAGGCTCAAGGCTACATTAGCTGCTACTAGCATAACACACCCGAATCTCCAACCAATCTGTCAAAGGTCGAGTTGCGTGGTGGGTAATGTGGACGACAGTTTTCAACAAGGAAGACAAATGTGTGGACTTAAAAAGGAGATATCTTTTTTTAAACTGTCCATCGTGACTCCCACATTGTTATAGGAGTGCAAAAATGATTCAGTGGAATACTCTTTTTAAGGGATTCACATCAAGATTTAATTATGTTAAAAAATGGCCGATATATCATTATCAGGGTTTATTTTTTTTAACTCCCAAATATTAAAACTAGCTTCAAACACCAGTATTGGTCATGTATTTCCAGCTACATAATATTTAAAATATAATTTTGAAAGGGGCCATTCTGCACCCTGATGAGTACTTTTATTCATGATACCATTATAAATTTTGCTGATGGTACGTTAATTGGAGTCAGACTTTGAATGCAGGACTTTTCCCTTTAACAGTATTTTTACAGTATGGTACTGCAACTTTTACGCATCGCAATTGCTGAGTCACCCAAAAAACACTGACAAGACCAGCTTTAGACTTTAGGGTAGGACTGATCTAACATGAAGTAGCTCTGCTGTGTGAACTCCTTTTGAACATGTATGCTAAACACATTTTGTGAAATGGCTCCTTTATTTGATTGCACTAGCAGATGTCGTTTTAGCTCCCCACAATCTGGCCGCTTTCCTGTTTGAGTGTGCTGTAATGGTCCCTGGGTAGCTCACCGCTTCCTGAACTCGGTGAGCGGAAGCTTTCTGCATCAATTTCACTTTGAAGATGCCATATCAGTCGCGTAATTCCACTAGCAAGGGAAACTTGAAAGGTTATTGTTTCCTGTTGTCTGCTGAATGACTTTATCCCAGACTTCTCCAGCAGTTTCATCATGCACTGACGTCAACTGGCACACACAGAGATGGACAGATTTAGTTTCTGTTTTTGGGATGTTTCCAAATCTTAGTGCCCCAGATGATCCAAACATAAAAAAAAAAAAACATTATACCAATTTAGTGTTGCTCTTAATTGAGTTCTCAGTAATGATGTTTGTGAAAAGATGCATTTGATAACAACATAATACTACTGTGTGTGTGTGTGTGTGTGTGTGTGTGTATATATATACACACACAGACAGAGAATGATTGTATCAGTCTCTGATGGTGATAATACTCACAGTGCACCTGTTCTGACTTTTATCACTTTTTGTGAGCATACATGTCGAAAGCTGCATAAATTGCTCGCACCTGCTTTTTGGAGTACTATCAGGAATGTCTTGGTCAGGTGTCTCCAGCGTTGTGTCAGGCGGTGTGCACAGGTTATTTCAGGACAGCCATCTTCAGAGGAATGAGGGCCGTCTGACCACACGGTGCCACATTGGGCTCCCACCTGTTGTAATTGGATTAGATGTTTTCCGTCAGTCATAGTTTGGCAATGTTCACTCTTCCATCCCCTCCCATTGTTTCAGGGGCGTTTCAAATAGGTTTTATTAGCATGCAACCAGGGCAGCATACATTTTTAGCTCCATTATTGGAGTGTGCCTCATTCTTAGTTACTGTTGTTTTAGGTGCTCTTTAAGAAGTTCTTTTGAAAAGCACACAGACTTTGATCCCTTTGTGCTTTACGGACCCACCCAGCTTTGCCCGCTGTATTTTTCCCTCAGATTTCTCCTCCCTCCTGTGGCCCACTGGCCTGAAGGGTGAAATCCTTGGCTTGTGATAATCCCAAGCAAGCGTAGATCAAACAGTGGATGAAAAAGCTGTGGGTATGTGTGCCCCAGGGCCAGGATTGCAGTCTTCAGTATCATTCACTTTGTTATAACTTACTAGGCTGTTCGAAAGGGCATTTTAATAAGGTGCTGCTCTACTATCTTAGACATGTAATTGTGATAGGATTGAATAGTTTCTCCTGTTTTTATAGTGGTGTAACGTTGGGCTAATGTACGATTGGTTAACCTTTTTCAATGAGGAGGAAATCACCACCTCTCTTCTTGTGAGCACTTATTCTTGAAATTTGAAAGAGTGAAGGTTTTTGTGTTACAAAACACCATGATGAAAGCCAGAAAATATATTTTGAAAGCTAGGAATCTTGGCTGCTGGCCCTTAGTTATCAATACTGATACACAACCGTGTCGCCATTGAAATTCTTGAACAACTATTGGATGGATTGCCACTTTGGTACAGATATTCATGGTCCCTAGAGGAGGAATCCTCATGAATTTGGTGATCCCCTGACTTTTCATGTAGTGCCACCAGCAGGTCAGTTTTCATTTATCCAGTGAAATATCTCAACGTCTACCGGATGGATTGGCACATAGTTTTATACTGACAGTCGTGATTCCCAGGTGACCTGTCCAAATGGCTTTGGTTATCCCCTGACTTTTCCTCTCACACATAAGATTGACATTTGTGATTTTAATTTAAATGTCTCGACAACAATTGGATAGATATCCATGAAATTTAGAACACACATTCTTGCCCCCCTCAGGATGAGGATTGTTAACGATCCCTTTACATTTCATCGGATACAATTATCGGGTCAAAATTGTGTGTCCAATATTTTGGTTTATGATCAAATACCTGCAAAACTAGTGCTGTAAAGTTATCATTAATTTAAATGTTAGCATGGTAACATTAAAATAAGGTGATCATGGTAAACATTGTACCTGTTACGCAACACCATATTAACATTGTCATTGTGAGCATGTTGCCTTACTAGGATTAGCATTTAGGTCAACGCACTGCTGTGATGAAGTACAGCCTCACCGAGCAGCTAACGTGGCTGTGCATTTCATGCTCCCTTCTTGAGCAGTTGAAAATGTGCAGGAGTGGGAAAGCACTTCTTGAAATTTGAGTGTGAGCGAGGGTTTATTTTTGTTCCAAACACCAAAGTAAAAACCAGAAAGTAAACTTTGATAGCCGGAAACCTGGGCCACCTGCCCCTAGTCAATGATACTGTTCATCAGCCATGTCTCCATACCATCAACTGGATAAAAGTAATTTATTTCTATTTATTCCAGGCCAAAGATGTAATTCGATCCCAGTTTGCCTGCACATACAAGGATGACGAACTGCCACTTAACCGTGTGCTGGAGTTCCCCAGCACCAGCCAGGTCCCTACCTGTGTGCACCCAGCACCCAAAACCATTCATGCTGTGGATAAAGAGTGCAGCTCTGGGGTGGAGGTGACGACCACAGGTACAGATTTAAACTACATTTTATCAAATCCTACAGATGTATTCCACTGCATGTGTAGAAAAGCTCAAAATGTCAACACAAGCAGTGCAGCTTTCTCCTTCTGCTGGGATAGATCCGTTTCCTCTTACGCCACACAGCTGGACTGAGGCCCAGGCACACCTTCTCAGCTCCAGCCTTGAACCCTTCCCAGCCCCAGCCTTGGGACTGGTACTTACCATCAGCCGTTAAATGAATCCCCATCCTATAAAACTTGCTCACACCCACATCTGTAGTAAAAACAAAAAACCACACACACACTCACACAGAGTTTTGCCCATTTCCCCCCTCTGTCTTTTGTTCTGTGGGAATTCAGGCTCGCCTCCATCAGGTTACATGACAAATGTTAAATTTCAACTTCTTAGAATAAACACACAGCCTGCTTCGACCAGCAGCTAACGTCAGCATTTTCGTCACAACATTTTCCTTTTTTTCCGCCTGCCAGGTTGTCACACTTGCTTTTGCTTTGTTTTAATCTTTCCAGCCAAGCCCACCTCTGAATGTCGAAATAAGGAGCAGAGCGGTGTGCAGCGGGGGACTGCTTTCGGGCAAAGAAGTGGAAATGCCCAAAACAGAAGTGCAGGCCCAGGCAATCGACAGAAACCTGGCATTCAGATGCAGAGCAAAGGCAACAAGAGAAAGCAGGTGGATTCTGACCAACCTGGAGGATCAGAGAATGAGCCTCCACAGAAGAAACGGCCCACTAGTGTCTCTGTCAAAATGCAGAAGAACACCAGCAAGGCTTCGAGTAAGAAGAAGCTGATAGCTGGGCAGGGAAAGCTAACCAGCTTCTTTAGAGTCTGATAATTGTTCGTCCTGGTTTTGACCAGATACTTACTGTGATGGTACAGTAGATAGACTTTCAAACTGTGTTCATACAAGGCAGCTGGGTGGTGGTGGTCAGTTGTTTATCACTGACAAATCTTGTGTAGCATGTGAATGATCCACTTAACACTGCAATTAATTATTTTTCAGTCTATGTTCATCTGTTGACTGTTAATTTAATTAACTGATTGAAGGAATAATTTTTGAGAAACTTTCATTTCTGCTGAGTTTGATGAGAAGATTGATGTCATGACTCATGTCTGAATACGAAATATGAAGAGCTAGCAGGCGATTAGCTTATTTTAGCATAAAGCAGAGGGAAACAGCTAGCCTGGCTCTGCTAAATAAGATTTAACAATTTAATTAGGACAATTTAGAGGTGCTGGCACGTTGATTTTACAACTTTGGACAGAGCCAGGAAAACAGTTTCCTCCAATTCCAGTTTCTATGCTAAGCTAAGCTAGCTGACAGATGACAGCTTCATGTTTAGCGTACAGATCCATATTTGTATGTGGCATTTTGATCAATTTGCTAGCAGAATATTGTGAATCTGGATTTGGCCAGTGCACAGCCAACATGCCCTACTTTGGGTTGTAATGTATTTAATCGCTATTTGTATAGTATTGTCTATTTAACCTGTAAAATTCCAAAATGAAATCAACTCTGTAAATATGACGCAGACTTTTCCTTTTTAATAAAACTCTTATGTTTTTATTTTTTTTGTGCAGTCATCTTCTACAAGAAAATGCATTTCAGTGTAACACATATATGGAAACCATTTTTACAGCACATTCAAGGGAGGGGGTGCTTGCAGCATTGGGAAACATTTATACTTCCCAGCAGGGTCGGTACACTCTTCCTATCATACACCGCAGCACTAGAAGGAAAGAATACTTGCATTAGAAAATATGAACATTAGGATATTTGACATGGTCACGTATGATATCCGAATGAATATTACTGGTTGATACATACTTGAGAAAATCAAAACTGAAAGCTTCAACTTTTTTTAAAAATCAATACAAAAACATGTGGTTGCAGATACTTACTGTCCAGGTCAGTGTTTCTACGAGCAATTTTGAAACTGTGCTCAGCGGGAGTGCGGTTCAAGCTCCTGTCTGTGAGCAGAGGAAGGCTCCGAGTGAAGGCCGGGTCCAGCCCACGAATACTGTGTCCTTTCAGCCTCATGTCCTGTAACACAGTATTGATCAGTGATTAGATGTGACACCATAAGACCACACACGTTCACAGTATCTAAACTCTGGAATCTTTTAAGTTGCAGCAAATGTGCAACAGCTTTCAAAGATTATCTTTTCAGTTGCAGCACAGGTGTTGGATCTGTCTTTACCAGCTGATCCAAGCCACATGAACCCCAAATGGAAGAAATATGTCTCCCCGTTTTTACTACATCACAGTGGCCTGTTTTCTTCCACTGCTCCAGTTCACCCAGATTGCTTTGTTCTCTCCATCATGGCTGCCTGTTCCCCATTACCGCAGAGATAACCACTATGTTCATGACACACACAGGACACAGCCGCCAGATAAACTCTTTATACATCTCAGCCAAACGTTTGAGGGCCCACAGATATATCATCATTCTTCCCACTGTGATTCCAATAAATCTTTATAGGCTTGTGATCATTTGACCTTTTCAGCTAATAGTATTTCCTGGTTTTCCAACAGTGCCATAAAAGATTTTCATAGATGTGTATGCATTATTGACTTAGCAGTAGACACGAGGACGGTGACCACTTGAAAGGGGTCAAATGTTCAGACAGGGTGGAGATAATGTGCTCTTTGTTGTTGTTGAACTGTCGTTACCTGTGGTTATTTATTGAAGGAAATCTCATTCAGTGTATAGTTATGATGCATGACTGTCATTGGCAGAGTTCAGTAACTCTAAATAGAGACTAGCCTGATACATTTATTTGGGATGAATTAACTAAGAATAATTCAAATAACTGGCAATCTTGGATTAATTTGCTTACAGCATTAAATAATTCAACAGAAACTTTTCCATCCAGAGACAAGTGACCTGGGTACTCTGGGCAATATACTGAACATTCTGCTAACTGTTTTCACAGCCGCAGGGACTATTTCTTTTGTAAAAAGTAATTTAAATAAAAACTGTTCACAGTCAGACACCAATGTTGGACGAGAGGGCCTGGCTCTCAATGTCTGTTCCAGCTTATCCCAAAGGTGTTCGATAGGGTTGAGGACAGGGCTTTGTGCAAACCAGTCAAGTTCCTTCACACCAAACTGGGAAAACCATTTCTTTATGGAGCTGGCTTTGTGCACATGGAAACTGAAATATGTAGATTATTCAAAGTGACTAGGACAGTAGTTCTGGAAAGACACACTGCTGTTGCCCCCTATATAAGAATCTGCATGGCTAAACTAGAGGTTTGTAAGAAAATATGTTTTTATGTCATTTGGGTGAATGGTACCACTTTCTAATAAGGTGCCCTACAGGCTTTAGAAATTGCAACTGATGGCAATATAATGGTTAATTAATTATTTTGTAATGCTTTATAAATCTGTTATAAGCCATTAATAAGAAAAAAACATTTGGATACCAGGTTGTGAAAATTATACCTGAAGAACTGAAGAGCTGAAGGGATTTGTCACCACCTGGCAACCCAAACATTTTTTTTATTAATGACATTAGTTATTGTTGAACACTACTAAAGTTGTTAGAACCCCTTTAAACAGCTTCAAACTTTGAAAAGTCATCAACAACTGCAGTGTGACACTTACTGAGACGATGATCATTTTAGGGCTTCCATCTTCATCATTCACGTTGTTGTCCAGCACACGGTTTCGTCTGTACACGGGGGGAACCACAGCAGGCTCCGTCATGGGTTCGTCCCCCAGGAACAAACCCAGACCATCTTGCTCTGTTATGCCATCTTCTACTTTGGTTGCAGGCATGGCTACGGTTACCAAATGGCTGCTCAGCTCAGAGAACAGCACTAGAGTATACAGGACAGAGCAGACAGACATCATGGTATCTCAATAGTTAGTTCTACAGTCGTTGACTGATCTTCTATCACGTATCGACTGTTCTACCTGGGCTCTCAGCTGCCTTATATATTCAGAGAGAGGTCATTTTGCTTACACCTTAAAATTGTTACATGTAAAAAGTGTGATGTCTCCCGAGGATGTGCATTCATCTAAAAAGGCCAAAGGTTACAGGAAGTTTAAAGGTCACTGCTGTAATTCCATTAATAGGTGTTCCTTCATAAAGAAAAAGTAAATAGCTCTATTTTGTGTGTTTAGAGCTGTGATGATTTCTAATGGATAAAGAGGTGAAACATGTAGGGCTGTAATTTCCACCAAGAGGCAAGAAGGCTCACAGAAGGTCAAAGGGAAGGAATTAATCGTGGATCTTTTACTAAAATCCACATGCATGAAATGGGCCCAGCAGGTGAGAGGACAGAGAGAGATACTTTGACTGAATGAGCTGCATCAAAGATGACCACTGAGTGGTCACAGTGAGTCATTTTCTCTGAATGGCATCAGTGTCTGCACATGGCTGAGAAAAATCCTGTGATGGACCATCCACAAGGGTCTGTAACGAGAATGAAAACGACCAAACTGACACGACAACAGGCCATAACAGAAAATTATGATGAGGAATTGTAAAGGAATAGTTCGACATTTTGGGAAATACATTCACTTTCTTGCTTAGAGTTAGATGAGACGATCAATACCACTTCCACGTTTGTGCACTGAAAAAGAAGTCAAAGCCATGAGATGATTTGCTGAGCTCAGCATAAAGACTGGAAAAAGCTAGCCTGACTCTGTAGACAAAAGAAATCTGCTTACCAGGAACTCTTAAGTTCACTAATTAACATTGTATATCTCGTTTGTAACTTCCTGGAGTCTTGTCAGTGGAGACTTAAGGACGTCACTGCACCCAGCCAAGAAACAGTCATACGAGGCTGGAATATGGGAATTCAGAACAGAAGCACCTAACCCTTGTAAAGCCATGTCTCACTACATGCTAGTGGCATGGTTCTTGGAATGGCAATGTTGGTCTGAAGGGTGGTCATGAGTAAAATGTCTCAACAACTATGGATTGCCTTCAAATTTTATGCAGAAATGTATGGTCCCCAGAGGATGAATCCTACTTACTTTGGTGAACCCTTGACTTATCCTCTTGTGCCACCACAAGGTTGACATTCGTAGTTTTGAGTAAAATTTCTCAACAACTTTTGGATGGATTGCTATCTGACACATTCATGTCCCCCTCGGGTCATCATCAGGTCAGGCTTCCTGTATGACAAAAACCTACAAAACAAATTTTGTCTCAGCTGTGTTTAGTGATAATCAGCAACTAGCATGCTAAACTAAGATGGTGAACGTGGTAACATTACACCTGCTTAGCATTTAGCTGAAAGCACACAAAAGGAAGTACAGCCTCATTTCCCAAAATGTCCATTTCCATACTAATTTAAAGGAGAATGTGATATGCCACAGCTCTGCGATCAAGCCTTGGGAGCATTTGATCAACAGGCACCTGAACCAAGGTGGCAATCATCAGCTGATGATAAAAGGCGGAGGCAAGCAAAAACCAAAGGACCTTCATGTTGACATAGCTACTCGCAGGCTTCTTCTTAACTCAAAAGGCTTACCTTATTAACATCACAGGAGCCGTAGCACAGAGGATGGAGTACCAGGACATGAATAATAGCTATTGAACTCAGCTGAAATGATTTTACTTGGAGCGGTCAGCCTTTATTTTGTAAGTATTATTGTTGGAGGGCGAGGACTTCTACTGAAGGACTGAACTTGTCCACAGGGGCACGGCCGTTCCAGCAGAAGCACAACTGAACTTGAGAGCTTCATGCTCTGTTGTTGTAACCTTTCTCGCTCTTTCTCTCTTTCTGATAATCTCTCCCTCCCTTTTCCCATATTTCTGATGATATAGGCTGTATTAATGTACTGATATGGACAGTAGACACACTGCAAATCAATGCAAGTCCACTTGGCTTCTGGGCACTTACTGAGAAGATTTGATGAACTCTTAGCTGTGGTGAAGGTCTTTTATCTGGTAACTGTGATTTTTTCCCCCCTGGTCTGAACTTCTAAGAAATCATTACCATAATTCTCTAACAAAGAACATTAGCAATAGAGCCAAGAGTCAAATAATCTTATGAGGACCAGATGTGATTCGGTGGGTATCCATGAACATTATTTACTAAATCTTTTTGTTTCCACAACACAGCTTGTCAAATCTTCATGCCAGTAAAGTTTATTCAACTACTTTATTCAACTTTTGACTGTGCTGTCTCTGATTTACAGTTAGTCCTGTTTGTAAGCAGCCATAATTATGTCCAGATTTTATCTGGCCTTGTGTATGGTTTACATTTTAAACTTAATGAGTAGTTTTTTTCATAAGCTCTGTCTGCTTCCATCACCTGTCAGTTGCCAGTGCTGTATTTCAATGAAACCTCCTACAGATTTGTGCATAGAGACTTCAGAAATCTCGGCCCTATGACATCAGTAGCAGCACGGTTTTATAATCCTCCAGGGACCAACACATTATTTCCCTGTCCTGTATTAACACACTGCCTTTCATCACTGACACTCGTCTTCTAATAGAAAATATAAGGAGAGAAAAAACAACCACTGTTGCAACAGAGAGGAAGCAGCTCCGGTTCCAGGGAAATGTGATGCACTGATGCTCCATGCCTGATGTTTGATATCTATGTGTTTGTGCTGCAGAGACTTGAGTTGTGCCAGAGGCCGGCGCGCTGCATTCAACAGGGATGCGGGTGCAAGAAGCAGGGACCGCATTTTGGGCAGGATTTTTTTTGTTGCCCAGAGAACAGACCATGGTTTCCTGGAACAATGCAGCTGATGAGAGTCTCTCCAAGGAAAATAAGGCTCTGACATCATGGGTTCTTAAAGCACACAGCTGAGCCAACACTCTCTCCTGCTATAATCAAGCCTCAGTGAATTTCCACTGTCGACTGAAATTGAGAAAGAGGGAGAATCTCCTCCAATGGTTTAGACACTTTTTTTTCTCTCTTTTTTTTTTTAACACGTTTTAATCTAACAGCTAACATATTCCCGTCTAGTTCACAGTGCACTTGCTGGACTCTTGTGTCTCTATTTCCTTTTACATCAGGCCTTGGCTCGTGGTAACAATAAAATGTGACACAAGGCTACTTGTAAATTTGTCATGATCAGCTCATCACTAGCCAAGAATGGATGCTAGCTTCAGGATATGAGGATATTTGGGATTAGAGACAACAAATGCTGAGTTGACGACAGTAGGAGCAAAACCCTGCAAAGAGAAATCCTGTGTGTCCTATTGGGAAAAATGAATGGTTAAAGACTGATGAAGCCTTACAACCACTTTTCCTGTAAAACAACCAGTAGAATAAGTAGTAAAATTGGTGAGTGTAGTAAAACAGACCACAAGGTCATTCAAAAGACAATCGTGTGCTTAAGATGAGGAGTTGAAGAGTGTGGAGAGATTGTGTTTCAGGTCTACGTCCAACATCTGTGTCCTTAGATGCACTGGATCCTGAGTGCATGCAGATCAATGAGAACGGATAGTGTTCTTTCCAGAACCATCCTGGTTCTTGAGGTTATATAAAAACATGTTTGTGTTGCACTCCTTGAGTCACCATGTAATCCAAAATTAGCACATATAAGAGGATAAACAGAGCATTTTGAAGACATCCTGACGTTTATATATTATAATAATTACAACTGGATACTGTACATCCGTCTTCACTTTCATAATTGGCTTATTTGTTATGGCTTGGTCACTGCCCAGGCCTCCCTGCACACAATTTCTCTCTGATTTATTTGAACTCTAAATCTTGCAAGCTTGCAGCCTACAATTGGACCATTAGGGTGAGATAATTGATTCTGTATTAGTCAAAGAGAAGGATGAAATAACATCCAGGATGGCTGGAATGATCGGGACCTCGCCAACCTCCCTGCTGCTCCACATTTTGATCTCTGCCGTCTGCCGAGCACCGGCCAGAGAGCCAATTTATTTGAGCTTGATTGTTGTGCCACATACATCCATATAAAAAGTGCTGACAGTGAGTGAGTGAGAGCTTGGCGCTGTCACTGCGAGCATCCTCCAAAGAGCTGAACATGCAGCTCTGGCCTCAGGGAGCACCACGCCCTGCTCTGTTTGCTTTGGCAGACCCCACCACCTCTTAGGAAGTATCATTTTGTCATTCAGCAAACACAGTATGCTCAGTTTCATACTGCACGATCCACAATGCCTCAGCTTCAGTTACGACTTCATCTATAGCCGAAATATTAAAGATTTGCTCATGTTTAAGAGAGACAAACCTCTACTTTGTAATTATCAGCTGTATATGTGTCTGAATCCACAGGGTAACTCATAACAGACCTATAGAGTTTGCCAGCGTGATGTTGGGTAATAGAGGGAGTAATTTTACAGGAGTGTATGTGCATGCTGCATGAAGAAATTCTCCAGCCATTTCTGTGATGTTGAGAAGTGGTTTATTCAGCAGGAATGGTGAACAATTTGTCAGTATTTTTTTTTCTACAGAAGGCAATCGAGCACCATAAATAACAGCGCTGTAATCAAACAGTTTCTTGGGACAGTGAGCTTCATCAGTGAGCTTTCTCATTAAACACTTCACATAGTCGTGAATGTCTCACTAACTCCCACATTTTCAGTTTTATCTATTATTTCACACAAGTGACAAACAGATGTTTAATTGACTTGTAGTCAGATGATTTTAAGTTGGTTGCTGTAGCCTTCTTCATCGCTGCTCCAAATAAACCCTATATACTGGCTCACTTTGCTGTCTATTACACAAGCTGTATTTCAGGTACCAGACACAGTGTGTGAAGGGTGTATTGTAGCTGCAGTGCAGTTCAGATAATGATGGCATCAACTGATATTTAATGACATAATAGTGCTGAGTGAGCATTTTTCTCATTATAAAGTCTTTGGTTTGTACTGTATATCTGAAGATCTGGGAGGACCAGAGTTGTTCTTCAACCAACTTCTTTTTCATTTCAGCCGCCAGGTCAACTGATATGAGAATTTGTAAGCTATAGACACCAAAGTACATGTGCAAATTCCCATTTTAAAACCTTGATCGTTACAGATAAAAACACACTTTTAAATTAATCTGTGAAAATAAATTTTAATTCAGAGAGCTGCTAACAAATGTTTAGTCAAAATAAATTAAACTCCTGGCTTATTCTTTAAATGAGACTCTGTAACTTTCGAAGGATATAACATTTTTCTTCTTACAAATAAAAAGTTAAGTAGTTTGCCACTACAACCTTATTTGGTCTGGTATGACCTGCAACAGGCTAATGTTAGCTAACGTAAGCAAACTTCAAGCAACAGTTCGGCATTTATTGAATGTATGCTTATTTGCATTCTTGCAAGATTCAGAATATTGATAATGCTCCCATATCTGGACACTAAATAGTTACAAGCTACAACCAGATCAGAGAGTATAGCCTAGCATAAAGACTGGAAACAGGGGGAAACAGCTAGCTAGCTGGGCTCTATCTGAAAGGGGGGAAGTAAACCTACCAGCACCACTAAAGCTCATATATTAACACACAAATCTCTTTTGTTTAATCTGTAAAACAAACTGAGTGTAAAAATGACACACTGGGATTTTATGGGGTCATTTCTTTTGTTCATTTATGTACTGTAGATGTGCTGGTAGGTGGATTTTGTTAACTTTGGACAGAGCCAGGCTAGGTAATTTCCACTTTTTGTGCTAAGCTAAGCTGCTGGCTGAATATTTACCAGAATGAAACGAAAGTTGAATTGATCTTATTAAATTCTCAACAAGAAAGTGAATTTCCCAAAATTCTGAACTATTATTTTAAGCTAGACGCTGTGTGACATTAATAAGTAGGCTTATATTTGCTCATACGGTGTTCTGACGATATATGCTATCCATAGCAGATTCTATCGATTCTCACTGCCCCATCAAAAAATGCTACCTTATGTGTTCCCATTTCCAATCCTATAAAGGTATAACTCTCACAGTATTCTTATATTATATATGATAATTATAACATCATAATTTAAGATTTTAGGCGTAGCGTACTTTGACTACTAATATCCCCTATCAAATAATGCTCCCATTACAGAATCATTTTATATTGCACCACTACACACTCCATGTTTTTTTTAGATATTGCTCACGATCAGCCACAGTCTTGATGACATGCCCAACAGGAAGGTTGCACAGATTTATTTGCGTGGAAACAGACCACGCTTGAGGGTCATGTGCATGCACAGAACCACTAAGTAGCACATCTTGATAGGAAGCATAAATGGACACCAGCTCTTCTCTACTTGTGCTCCTGTTACACTACATTTTAGCATGTCACAGATAAACACAACAGTGCCTCTCAAGCATCTGAGTCAAGAGAATATTTGAAAATGAAGGCAAATTTAATACTATTATCCTGTAATTATCACTTGTAGCCACAGTGGGCGCTGTTCAGCAAAAGTTACATAGCCTCGCGTTAAGTGTTTTCAATAATCAGTACCTTGGCTTCCAGTGAAGTGCATGTACACACATCTCAGGACAGACAAAAGCACACCATGAATTTCAACAATCTCAATACAATTGGAAGAATCACAGTTCACAGTACTTTTGTCAAGTTATTTGGCATAAGGGATCTATATTGAGAAAATAATTCAAAAACAGTAGAAAAAATAGCATTTTGCCTTCTTGGGACCACAACATGGTATTTTCATTTTCTTTTTTTATCTCCATGCATTCACAGATTTCACACAGATACATTTGCTCGCTTACACTACTACCTTATTGAAACAGCTTACAAATAAAAACACTATTAAAATGGTGGCCACAAGGCTGTGCAAAAGGGAAGACCTTCAATGTAAGCCCTGCCATCTGTCCGTCTTAGCCATCTCTTGCAAGTAACAAACTACAAAATAGCACCATTATACAGTGGATAGGATTCTTAATACAGTTTTGTTATATGAAACCATCATGTACAATGAATGATAGTAATGCATAGGTTAACATATATGGGAGTACTGTTTGATTATACACAGGCAGAGGAGGCAGAGCCAGAGATGAGATGTCTTGGGTGGTTTGTGAGAAAAAATGACTGTAAATCCACAAGGAGGCTTGGACAAACAGCCATGACTGTCAGTCCTCATGCAAGGACTTCTCAGAACTGGCTTTTTATGAAACATGTGTGTTTGTGTGTGCTTGAACCTTGCTCACAGTTACACAACTCTCATTTACACTGTGGGTGCTTTGTATGTGTGTTTGTGTACTGTTATACGTGTGCCGTATCTCACATCTCCAGGAGGACTTGTCACTTTGGTTTGCAATATTTACCAAATCATGTAATCTGCATGTTTCTTCAGTGGACTTTGCAACAGATGCAGTGGAGTTTTGTTCTACTCTCGCCATGATAGCAGGTAATGCAGTCCAAGCGACAACTAAAGTTAAAGCAGTTCTCGGCCTCCCTAAACTAACAAAATATAACAGGCCAAGATTGATTAATCATTAAACTTCCCATCTACATGCCTATTGTTAAAGTCTTTCCGTATTTTGCTTTAAACTTCTGTGTTGACTGATTTGGGAACACATTGTTCTTCAAGAGGACAAGAAAAAGATTTTAATCTCGTGGATTCTGGTGGGTGTCTTAGAGTGCTTGTTGACTTGCAAAAATTAGATTTGGCCATGGTGGTGACATGTGAAAAGGATGCAGACAACAAACATTTTGCCAGATTGTCGCCACCGACTTGAGCCAAATGCACTTTGAATCCACTGAATGACCCATTTCTGACAATCAAACAAGCGCCATGCACTGACTGACCAAAAAAAACTTTAATTCAATTTAGCTTCTGGTTAATTTGTTTCTCTGTTTTTGAAAACAGACAAAATCTTGTTTTTGCAGAACCAACTGTTCCTTAAAATCCCCTCTAATGATGCTTGATCTGTTGTTATAGAAGTGTTTGGATTGGAGACTCAGTCCTCAGATTCTCAACACTTCCTGAGGCTTAGGAGGGATTTGGATTGGACTCAAACCTTCAAGGGACTCCACTTAGCAGAACACTGCTTCAGTCAATGAGAAGTAGGGATTTGATTTGGGCTCAAGGTAAAATAACTACAACAATGTTAAAGTCTGATAATGACCTCGTTTTTTAAAAATAATCCTCCGTAATGCATGGTGCATAAAAACAAACTCTGAAGGTAAGATAATTAACCGGGGTAGTAACTGTTATATGTGACTGATGTCAAAGTATCCTGTCTTACTAAAGGAGCGAATGAATCCACTCTCTTAGAGTAAAAGGATTTACTTCCCCAAAGTTCAAGGGACAGGATGGACCACTCATTCTCAAACACAGCCTGCCGCTCTCTGATTGGCTGAAGCCCAGATTTCCTGGAGCCAGGGGATGCTGCAGCTCACACATGGAGGTATAATAAGCTCTTGTTCGTGTCTCAGCAGCTAAACTAGTCTGTTACATTGCATTAACAAAGAATTCCTCCTGATATGGAATGGTGCAGTGTATAAAATAATCACAAGATCCCTCATCAAACCCTTAAACAACACTTAGCTCTCAGGTTTCAATCATTTTGAAGAGCTTTTCAGACCACTGTTAGCTTTCTCTTTGTTTTGTTTTACAGTGAACCATTCCACAGGGGTACCAGGTAAGGCCACTCCCTTCTCTCTTCCCAAGTCGCAGGGCATTTGTCCATTCACTCCTTCCCTACATTCTGTAATTTCTGCCCCCCGTGTTGCCTCGACTGGAATTTTTCTGATGCACTTCCTGCAACAAAAGAGAAACACATTTTAGACATGTGGCAGAGATACAGCATAAAGTAAACAAGCTTTGAAAAACAGCTGTTCTTTGGATGTTGAAAAAAAATTTGGTCACAGAGATAATTACTGTCTTTTAAGTCAAACTGAAATAAAAATGCATGTTTGCCAAGAAATTTCAATAGCTATATTATTGTTTGGTAAAAATCATAATTGACCCTTCACTAAGCCAAGCCCCCTTATTTACTATTGCTAAGTCTGACAAACTGTCGGACCTGTCGGACGCAGCCACTGTCTATTACTGCACTCCCTGGAGTAATATTGTCAAATTTTTGGAAAAAGCGAACTCAGAAAGAAGCAGATAGTTCAGCAGTTGCATTATACAAATAAAGGTTGTATTCAGGCTGTCAAACTGACTCACACTGACGTGAAAAAAATAAAGACAGAAGCTAAAGCCTACCATCACAAAGTAAAAGTGAACCACCTCACTACTGAGAAAGAGGACAACGATATTGAGGATCAACACTGTTGCTGTAAAGCTGGGTAGGTCTCTATTCACTATTACAATCATTAAAAACAGTAGGGCTTTATAACATTAAATTCATTACATTAGATTACATTAGAAATAATAGACAGCTTACATTTTCTGGATTTGTTTTAGGTAGAGAATAAATTCTTTCAACCTTTCTGGGTAGCGACTGTAAATATTGTAAGTGCCCCAGGAACAGCGTTTGAATGGAGCGCAGCAATGAAAGTGTCGGACCTCAGATAGAGCGACTCCTATACTGCGAAATTTATTTAATTTCCAGCACAGATAGTGCTCAGTAGGTGTAATAATATGACAGAAAAGTTAACATCTAATGCAAATCAATGCTAACGTTAGCAAGCTAAGCTCCTAACTCCCAAATGTTAAATGTTGTAAAGAAACAGATGTTTTAAATCACTAATGGTGCTTACTGCAATTATTGTAAGTCACTTCAGGACAAACTCGTCAGTCTAATGAATCTAATATAATGGGTAATGTCTTGTAATTGCTAGAGTTAATAAGCTAGGTTGAAGCTAGTTAGCCTAGCTTGCCAAGTCCAAGTTAAATACAAACTTAACAGCATGATGGGTTCACCTAAATGTTAAATGTAGTAAAGGGACAGATATTTAAATCATGGTTCATGATCAACATTATGTAGGCTTATTGAAAAAGTTGAAAACACATCTTGAATTAACTTTCGTAGGCCAAGCAAACCGCCCACCCACAGGTGGGCGGTTTGCTTGGCCTGAAGCTGCCCAAAAATCCTCTTTTGAAAAAGGGAAACATATGAATAACAGCTGCGATATCAAATAGTTCAAATTTCCTGACACAAAAAGTGAGGAGAACTCATATTTCAGGTTGACTCCAAGAGAGAAACAAGAAGATTCATACAATACATATAATACCACCATTTGCAGTGCACCACAATCCACAAATGAATTAACAGATGAGTGATGTGGAAGCCACTGCACACGTAGATACTCTAAACGTGATATGTGTGCTTCATCTCCAGTCTTTGCATGTGTCAGTCTGTTATGGTGAGACGCCAGAATTTCAGCACATAATGTACAGTAGCAGAGTGGAGATTCTGCCTGGGGAGCAGGAGTGCCACTGGGTCTACCACAAAAACCACTTAGTTCCTTCTCTTGCTAATGGTTTTCTTTTTTGAGAGAAGGGTAAAAAGCACACGGTCAAATTTTAAAAGGATCACACTCTCCTGCAGGTTGGCAACTCATGCTTTCTTTCTTTGGCCAAAAGATTAAGATTTCAGAAGTTTACATGAATCTCTCTCATTTCAAAATAAAGGTTGTTCTGCTTTTGAAACTCTTGAGAATGTCAGAGTGGGGATTTGTATGATTTATAGGGATTTAAATGATCATAAAAAATAACAACAGAATTAGATGAAAAGTATCCTCTGGTGTGCATACCTTGAAGGATGAATGACTATGTCCAGATAAAGGTCTCTGTGGGAGGAAAATTAAAGACACTTAAATTGGATGGATTCATTTATCATGCTATATTTAAATGCTAGCAAACTTGAACCTACTGACTTGAAGTAACAGTACGACATTTTGCAAAATGCGCTTAATGAGATGAGAAGTTTGAGACCACTCTCGTCTTTACACTAAATATGTAACTACAGCCAGTAGCTGGATAGCTTAGCTTAAAGACTGGAAACGGGGAAATAGCTAGCCCTGGTCAGAGAATGTCCGGCCAAGAAATAGTCTCGTAATGCCACAAATCATTTCATTTCATTAATTAGTGAGCTTTAGCTAGTCTGACTGTCTGCCAGCACCTCTAATGCTCACTAATTATAATGTTTTATCTATCTAACTATTGTGTTCAAACGTCCAAATGATTAAAATTAGAATGACTACTTCTTGGTTGGATCCGTGAGCAGATCTAGGCTAGCTGTTTCCAGTCTTTATGCTAAGCTATGCTAACCATCTGCTTGCTGTGATTTCATACTGAACAAACAGATATGGAAGTGGTATCAATCTTATCTTCTAACTTGAGAAAACAATTAAACATATATCCCAAAATGTCAATAATTTCTCAGGGTATTATGTGTGCATGCTCTGACAGAAACCACCAAAACACTAACCCTATTCTCTTATTTTCTTCCATATTTCCTGATTTTTTTTTAAGAGTGTATCTGTTTCGTGCTGTGCTCACCTTCTTGTTTTTTGTCTTGTCTGGCTGCTGTGCTGTCCTACGCTCTGTGCCCTTGTCCACTTTGTGCCCTGCAGTACTAACCTTAGGTGCTCTCGGCATGTCTGTGTGGCGCTGTGCACGCACAGAGCGAGCAGGCTTGCTAGTCTTGGCAGGTGCACAGTACATCTCCAGGCGCCGCAGCTCACAGCTTTGGAAGCAGCACTCGTCCACAATGCCACGTGATCGCCGTGCATTGGGGCCATAGCCTGTTGGTTTACCTGTTTGAGCAGAACAGCAGGAGGAGTTAGAAAACTGCATAGCTGATCATTGGTGCTGAATCTCTTGGTTTCAACTAAGCAGCTAAGAGCAATGCTTTTTCATAATTTCCATGCCATATACATATATCATAAACTGGTATGCATGAAGAATTTGTGCTCGGAAAATGCAGCTTTAGCCTTAGTCTTTTAGCACGATATCATGTATGTAAACACAAAAAAGTCAGCCAGAGACAACGCTTTTAATCAACTTGGGACACTGCTGTTATATTAACAATCTACAGTGGATAAAATCTGCTAACAGCAGTTGTCCTTTCAGCCAACAAAATTGACGATAGCTAGCTAGAAATCTGAATCCTCTAAATAATTTCATTTGATAAATCCCTCATGATTGTGAGCAGTGTCTCAGGGGAAACGAGATTAGCGAACAGACAGAACTGTTAGTAGAATTAAGCTCAACTGGGGAGACACTGCGCTTGTAATAAAGCAGTGATAATAGCCAGGTCATAGGTCTGATTCCTTAGATATATGAACAGCCTTAATGACATGGATCTCTTCCGTGTAAAATTTACAGAGTATCACATTGCACACTACGGACCCTTTTTGGCAGCTGCTTCCCTGTAAAAAGGGGGCTGCAGTCACCCAAATGTTGAGAATATCAGCCATGTCAGCCATTTTGGTCCAGGGATCTTTTACACAGAGTCCCATCCAGGGAGGCCAAACCACAAGCCCTCTGGGTATGATCAACCTGTAGAAACAGCCAGGCAGGCTTTGAGACCGCACCTCTGTTGGCTATGCCCCACTGTTCATTCACATTTTCATTTGGCCTGAGCACCCTGGAGTCTTTCTGGTAGAACATGGATGTTGAAGACGGTGGCATGGTGCATATCAAGAAACAGCCCTAAATTCAAGGCCAGTCGAGGTGAGGTGCAAATTGTGTTGTAGTCTATTTTTAACACTTACATAATGAGGAAGACATTATCTAAAGGTGTGACACTCAATCAAGTTAATATGATGCCAACACTCACTTCCATTTTCAATTCCTTTACCCCCCAAACCCACCTTCTTTTGGTGGACTTTAGAAAAAAAAAAACTCTGACTCTCCATTTACAATTCCCTGCTCACCTTCAGCAATATAGCCCTGATGGGCTTTTCCCTGTTACCAAATAAAATAATAATAATTTAATATGGCATTTACAAGGAGGAAATGCCTTTCCCTCTCAGAGTTAATAGCTCTTGGCTCAGAAGCCTGCCATTGCTGACAAAGTGCATTAACTTCTGCTCTCTGTCTGCCTTGTCCTGACAATGTTGTTTTGGACAGAGAGCAGCTTTCATTCAGAAACAGAAGCATCTTTCTCCTTGGACCCCCAGACGCAAAGCAGAGTGGAAAATAATGGAGGTGTGAGTGACAGGCAGGAAAAGGGGGGACAATAGGGAGGCTTTCATGTTGCACATCAGGTAGAATGATGCTAAAAATACACTGCGCACCTGCATTATTTAGGGAACAGAAGAACTGGATTTATCCAGATCTCAAACTGCCAAAGTAGACTTGTTTAAATTAAATATGTTGATGATAAAAAATATTGATTTAGCTTTTTGTCATTTTCATGTTTATACTTTTCTGATGCTGATTTCTTGGCAGTTACACCTTTCATAGCCAGGTATTCCACAGTGTAATTTTCAGTCCTTTCAGTCATCTGAACAAACAACCTTTGCTATTTCTCCCCTGTGGTGTGTAGCGGTGGGACCGGCCTTGGCTGCTATATTAACACCTGATGTCAAGAAATTTAAAAAGAGAGAAATATGACTAGAGTTTGGCTGGCGATTATGTAATGGCTGCTGAAAGCCAAAAGAGGGGCTGTGCCTCGTTGCCTGGCTTGTTTTTCAATCCCTCCCAATAAAGCCTTACAAATTAACATCCGCTATTATTCTGAAAATAGCTTGCATCCCTGCTGCACAAACAGCTGGAAGGGAGAGAAAAATCAGCTGGCACCAGTTGTAACATGTAGGATAATCAGCTTGGGCAGGTTGGGGAAAAACATGCATATAATAATCAGGTCTAAAAGCTTTGCAAGGTTTAAATGCTTCAATTCCATGGATAACTGCTGTAATCCCTCATAAACAACGAGTTGTTTTCTGTGACTGTTGTTAAACAAATATGGGTAAACAACCTTTTCTGCCAGTGCTTCTTGCCTTACGGGCCCTCTGCTATTTGAAATGCTCTCTAGGTGGAGGATGCAGGGATCATGCATGTTAATGAAGGTCAGATTAGAAAGTGTGTGTCCGTGTTTCAGCCATCATGACGAAGTAGAGACCTGGTGGTGATGGGGAGGGGTTGGACCACACATAGTGGTTCTAGTTGGGCCAGTAAAAGTTAATTTAAAGCAATACTCCACCGAAAAAATATCTTTTGAGTATTAAATACTCTACCACTTGTAGGATTAAAAGGTAGTTCGGGAAAATTCATAGCATGCTCCTTTGCAAAGGACATTAACGTGTCAAAATATCCATAAAAACTTTTCAAAGCTCTCCTACAGCATAATCCACTTTAGTTTCAAACACTTATAGTTTCTCCCCATCATAGTTAAATTCACTACTTAAAAGTTATGATGCTCCACCAGAAGTACCATCATCAGAGATTTACTGGTGAAGTGATTATTTACATTGTTAGATACGGAACCCATAGATTAATAGGTGGGAAGTGAAGTCACTTGAGTCTTGAGGCACACAATGTTATAGAAGTGCAATGCTAGTTTGAGGACCTGCATTGTAGGGGGGTGTTGCTTTGGATACCAATGATATGATGAAATACACTCCAGGAATGCCAGAGTACAATGACCATGAATTTAAAGGATTATCAGAAGCCAAACCACTACACAGAACTTTTTAATACTATGGAAAAGGCATTTTACAACTTTATCGACAATCATTGTATTGTCGCAATAATTGCAAGATAGAACTGCCCCATTCACGTTACATAATTAATCTACCAAGAATGTGCACGTGCATGTATTTCACGAACCAATGCAGCACCTTGCTGGATGATGTCATATTGTATTGTGGCAAACGTTGAGCCAAGTAAAATCTTTTTGCTGGATGACCTTGCATTTTTCTTGCCAGAGCTCTCACAGAGGTCGCATTGAAATGAATGAGAGGGCTGTGTTTTATTCACACAGTGCTGTCTGCACACAGACTTATGCCGCAGAAGGGGTTTGAGGCATTTCTATGGATGCTTTGATATGTTCTGGTATATTTTTTTTTTTCCGTGACTCTTAGTCGCCTTTGGCATAAATTGTATCTGCAGTGAATCCAAGCGGAGTGCAGCCACCGCCCTCCACGAATGAGCAGGCTACAAACTTTTCAGAACCACCTGTCAAGTGCTTGATGCTCTAAATAGTCCTTTGGAGTGGAGTATTCCCTTAAATGATTTACATTACATGTCAATCTGCCAGCATCCTTCTTAACAGAGAACTATGCAGTAGAACCGACTGTCTTCCACTTGTTAAATTGAGTTTAGATGAAGTGTTTCATCTGATGTCATCTAACATCTTTTTGGTGTTCGTTTGGTGTTTGACAACCTCAGCACACATAGTGTTAATTCCTCTGAGGATTGGCACCGGAGATAAATGGCTAGATTCCCCAATTCCAGAGTGGTACAGAAAGCATCTGAGTTTTACAGCTTGTTCATGGTCAATAAAAACCAGTGGATTCTTGGAGCCTGTGCACCGCTCTTCCTGCAAAGTGTCAGGCAGTTTACGGCTGGGCAAGGACTATAAGAGCTGCTAAAGTACTGGAAACTATCTCTTTATCATTGATACCACAAAGACTTTATGGCATGAGTTACGTGTTCTTCGCATTACTGCGCTGTCACACTAGACTCTTATCCAGCTGCATTATCAATATATATCAATCGATTTATTGAGGGTAGATTTGTTGGGCAACTGTACGAGACATCATTTAGAAATGATTTCATTATATACAAAAGTCAAGATGCCAGGGCTAATTCTTGAGGCTGATTTGGAGATGTAGGAAAGTGTTAACAAATGTATGACGTTCTATATTTTAGTAGTCATTTAATAAATGTGGTTAAGTTATGTATAAGGAAATCTCAAGTATAATTATAAATGATGAATTCTAGCCTCAAGGGGAGTTAGACAGGGTTGCCCCCTTGCATGATCTATTTTTCTTGGTGATACAATGCTCACATTTTTAAGTGAAGTCCATCCTTTTCTTGTGTAGGCTACAATGCAAATGGCTAACAATTTTGACAAAGATTGACAAGTGCAAAGGTCTGAGGTTAATTACAAGTGATGAATAGTGTGTGAGATTCTTTGGTGTCCAGTAGGTATCTATAAGAAGATATCTTATTAACAAAGAGGGTTAGACAAGGTTGTCTAATTCAGTTGAAATGTTGGTTAATGAAGTGAACACAAGTGTTCAATAGTGTGTGAGATTCTTTGATATTACAACTGGAATAAGAAATGAAAGACAATTTATGAGACTACCTAAGATGAAGAAGAAAGAGTGCCAGAAAGGTCCAGGATATCAACTATGAATCTTTGTGACCTCTGCACTAATGCAACAAGATACATCCTCTTCATAGAGGTCCTACATTATGTGATTGGATTAAACTGATGAAGGGTTTCAAAGGTAAAGCACTGTTTAGTCCCTGAGTGTCCTCAAATCCCTCATGTCTCAACTTCAGCTAATGTACAAATCTAAATCTGGATGACGCCTGCCTGTCCTTTTCATGAGATGCCTCTTTGTTCCGCTGAGCTGTAATTCACAGAAGGGTCAGAGATTTATAGTTCAGGTCTTAATGGGAAAACGACACCTTTTCTCAGTGATGGAGAGGACACAGGAGGTCTTTCTTCAGATATCAGTGCCTTCCGCTGTGTGTTCAGGTCCAGTATAAAACTAGGGAGGGAGGGGAGCGGGGGTGTCCTGATCATCCTGTAATCCACATAATCCCCTGCTGCTGAGGGACAAGGCCAAGCAATGTGTGTGTTTGAGTGTGTGCATGTGTGCGTGCATGCATGTGACGTGCTGTTTGCACATTCTACCTCTCTTGCCAGCTCCAATAGCTTTGAATAAAATTGACAAACACTGAAGAGGAAGTCTCATCGATGGCTGCTAAAAGCAAGTTTCCCACTCCTTTCCACCTTCATTCCACATGCCATTAATACAAGGCATAACAGCTAAAACAAATTACCACGTTTCCTATTTGGCTGCTCTTTTTTATTAGAACTTCGTGTACCAACAATTATGGATGATTCCATCTTGTCGTAATTCAGGAGAGTTTGCGCATTTCACAGGAGTCAGCAGTAAGATTATATATCTCACACTCACTCTAGAATAAGTGTGAATATTTTAGCATGAACTGATAAAATATGAAGTGACTTAGATCAGGGAGCCACTTAGCACTTACACTTTAGCCAAAAAACTCCCATAACAGATCTGATTCATGGAATGAACATTGCAGTGAAATCACCCCACGGTCCTGCCTGCTAAAGCATTACAAAGACAACTGAGGATTTCTAGGTCAGGCTAATAATTGGAAAAACTGACTACGGTTGTGGATTTTTTTCTGTTTCATAAACCACAGTTTGTTTCATTACTTTCCACCAACTAGTATTTAGGATTTCTGTCAGGGTAGGAAATTTGTAGTCTTAAAATGCAAGTGTGCTACTTTACTGGTGACATGCATAAGGTGGATTGGCAAAAGCACTCTCTGCACAGAAAGCCCACTGTCGTTGCAACACTGTTTCTGGACACATTATCAATCAGACGACTGCCAAGTTCAACACGACCAGACTGGAGGGGAAGAGTTCAGGGAAAGGAGCGCGCCTCTTTGGCCAAGCTGTTATGCTGCCGGGTCCTATAGACTGCGGAACCCGAATGGATTCTCCAGATATTTTACACAAACAGCCACAGGTACATTTGGCGACCGAGAGAAAGGAGAAGAAAAAGCAATGAGAGCAAGAATATGAGAGAGCGAGAGAAACAGGGGAAGACAGGGAGCAGCATATTTTCCAAGGCACAGCACCCTGCTGCTCAAACCTCATCGTCTTTTCAGAAAAAGGATGGAGTGTTTGTAAAATACACCTCTTTTTCAACACAGGAAAATGTGGCATTGATAGATGGACGCTGTGCAGTTCAGTGACTGCACAGTGTAAGGTTATGCGGGAAAGACAAATACATTCCCTGTACCACAAAAAGGTCTGTTCCTGCTTAAGAAGTGTATCCTGCATGAGGATTCATGAGTTACATTGGCCTCCATTCAACACTTTCTCATGAGATGAATATGGACAGTAGGGCTATACTTCTATAGCCTGTGAGAACCATTTACAAAACTGTAGCAAACCCCCGCTATCAGTAGCCAACACTTTGTCACATTCTCACGTCATACAATCTCTAGACACCCTACAACGTTGTCAAAATCTCAAACATTTCATCAGCTTTAAGCTACCGCATGCAGGCACTTCTTGGGACCATTTTACAAACTTTCAAACTGAGATGAATTATTAAGATGGGATTTAAAGTGAGGTAACTTTGAAGGAAAATATTAACCAAAATTTTATAGCAATCACCATCTAAGAAGGGAATGCCAAAGTCCAAGTCTTGTTGATATTCAAGATTTAATCCTTGCATCACATTAACGCTAAATGTGATGCATGATTTACTATGAAGTTGGCTTTGACCATGTAGTACATGCTCTTCCACAGTCTCTCAGCCTAAATGAAAGGAACACGGTCATTTATACAAGTGAAATGCAGCAGCAGAGGGAATCCAAAGACCAAAATGTCTTAACTGGCAGAAAACTGGCAATCGAGAAGGCTGTCATGACCACTTCACAGCATGACGGTGTTGCCAGCAGCATCTGGACGAACAAGACTCGCAGCTTTGCAGCAGCTTGGTGGCTCTCCAACAACTCTCTGGCAAACACTGATGCAGGGCCCAATGCAGAGAATGATGTTGACTGGTCCTGGATAAGCTGCACGCAGAGGTGGAGGGATGTGGCAGGGGGATGGTGGGGAGCAGCAGCAAGGTGCATGGTGACACTACTGCCAGACAGAATGTTTTTATCGGATGATTCTGCAAAAAACTTCAGAATACGTGCTGTGACATTTTGGAAGGTTGTATGCCACCTTTTTTCTACAATGTATATGCATTGCAACAACAATAATGTGTGGTATGGTAAATCTCTGGCAACTGAAACACTTGATTAAGGTTTGGAAGGGGTTAGGGGCTAGGGTTAAGAGTTGGACTATGATTAGAGTCTGACTGAACATGTACTCTGGTAACACATTCACAGTCACCTTACTTTCTTTCTAGCTATGTGTACGAAATACTACTTTCTTCATTGGTACTAACAGTCGACATTGGACTTAAATCATGTGATCTGAACCTAATTCTCATGCATGGGCAAGATGGGTGCATGGATGCAATGGACCTAAGAAGTCTGTCTGTCCTGCCCAGTATCCCTAGGAATTACGTTCATATTAGACAATTGTAGACCTCACAATTTACTTTACAGCCAATGACAATATACAGGAAGTAGTGTGTGCTTTATGTAGCGAGCCACATGTAGCATGGATGTTGGGTTGTGGATCTGTGTGTAGCATGTTTCGACTGCCATGCAGGAAATCAGGGTTTGTGTCCCATTACAGACCTGCAATTATTTTTGTTGTTTTATTAACCGCAGCCCCAGTCTTTTCTACCGTTAACCATGCCAAAGCTTGTCATGCACCGAGCCATCATCATCATATCACATGTGCTTTAATTAAGAGTACAATGTTGGAGCACATCTTCAGCTCTCTTGTATAGGATGCTTTGTTGGTACCATGACCAGGTGCTAAAGGCTGTAGCAGGTACCTGAGGCATAGGCGTCATTGACAGCATACATTTCGACCCAGCATGATAGGTCACTGATTTTGTTGAAGCAGGAAAAAAGCCTGTCAGTTCATGCAACAAAAAAAAAAGGATTTTGGGACTTTCAGAAGTATTGTAATGTAGATGTGAAGTGAGGAGGGCAGTTCAAATATCCCCGAAATCTTTGCAGCACAGATAGATAGATAGATACACCAAGAAAGGTGGTGACGTAGCACATGGAAGGATTGGACTGACGAGCCAATCACACGAAGATGGCCAAAAATCAAGAGCACCACGAGGCGACAGTTTTGAACAAAATATGCAGCGCTGTCACTTTAGTTCAGACAGAAATATTTCAACAAAAATTACCATGAAATTTTGTACAGACAGTCATGGTCTCCAGAGGATTAATTGTACTGACCTTTTTTCTGGCGCCATTATAAGATTTTGTGTGAAATGGCTTGATAACTAATTTCCATGAGCCCTTAAATTTTTCTGTAGCACCATCGTCAGGTCAAAGTATCACATGTCAGTTTGCACTTTGGTTTATGACTAAATATATGCAAAACTGATTACATTCCCGTCAGCCTCAGCTGTACTTGGTGTTTACCTTTGGAACATCAGTATGTTAGCTTTGTGAGGGTTAGCATTTGGCTCAAAGTACAGCTGTGTAAAACACGTGGCTGTAGACTAATGTGTTGTTATCTTAGCAATCAAATTTACTTATCTATTTTTGTCTTTTAATGGCTTTAGAGTTGCCTTAATACACTGGCCACTACTACGCTATTTGCCTGCTGTACTCAGGCTGGGATTCAAAGGCTGGCCCCCTCCTGGCCCCTAATCTTCAGTCACCAAGTTCTGGAGGTGTATCTCCAAACCACTCCAGGTTCAGGTTAAGGTAAAAGCAATCAATTACTGGAAAAGAGAACAACTGCAAATGCATTATAGATGCTGCTGATTTCCCACAGAAATCTTATATCCTCTTCTTCCTTTCATTTTGAAATTGGCAGCTGACAAGGTCTACCACATGTGGAAAATCTTTCATAACTTTGGGACCAAACCAAACCATTAATAATGGCTTGTTATGTCAGATCTGCACAGAAGTCAGAGGGACAATCAATTATTATATTAAAAAAAACAACTTTTGGAGCGATACGAAGCTCTTCCAGGACATTCAGAGCAAATTGACTTAATTGATGGAAATCAGCCAAAGAAATTTGAATAATTAGGTTATACACTTCAGCTCTGTAGTGTATAACCTAATGGCTGTACGTTATACTACAAACGTACAGCCATCTCTGACAGAGAGATCAGGATACATGTCCTGAGAAACACTGGCTGCTGGTGGAACATTGCACCTAACCTCGGTAGCTCCATATATCCCGTGCTGTTCTGGGCTGGGTTGTACCCTTAATGGAAAAATTGGAGATTTAAATCCTGGATTGTTGGTGGAGGGTTTTCTTTGGGTCGCTTTCCCATTCTCTGGTGGAAAAATTAAAAAACTTCACTGCAACATTTAGTTTCTACCCCTCCTCTTTCTTAGAGATAGTCAGCCAAATTCCACTTACAGACCTTTGCCCATGGGCAAAGCTGCTATTTGCCACCAGCAATATAGTGACTTATCATTATTCCATATTTCACTTAGGTTTGCTTGTTCAGAATCAGGACTCCTGTCCCAGTGACAGTTTAGCATTAAAACATATGAGCAGGGGTGATTGTGAACCTAAAGAGAAGATGTAACAGTGGAAGAAGAATGAATGAAGGAAGAAAGTCAAGACAAGATGTCAAACTGGCTGCTTTTTTATTTATGAGCTCACTGGAGGTAGAGAGCTCTGGGACAGATACAGCCAACCTTTATGAATAAATAAAAAGGTGCACTTACTGAAATAAAAGCCTCTATCTCCACACACAAACTGCAGCGTGTCGACCAGCTCCGCCCCGCACAGGGTCTCTGGTCCCGCCCCTGTTGCCGTCGGAGTCAGGGTGAGGACGCACAGCAGTAGTGAGAGGGTGTGGCTACAGGAGATACAGCACATCGCACTCTGCAGCACAGTGAGAGAGAGAGAGATTTAACATTTTACTGCTGTTTAAAGACAGGGCATAATCAGTGAGATTTTCATTTAAGCACTAATATGAACAAAGAAAATCACTTAAAGTCATTGCTCTCTTACACTGCTGGCTATTGAGCAGCAGAGCTCTGACAGTTGGTGGCTCAGTGCCTTGCTCAGTGGTGCATCAGTAGTGGCACCTCTAAACATTTTCCCACATAAGATTTGAACAGTGAGCTGAAGGCTTGTTCCCCTGACTTACAGGCTTTTGCTCTGCTAAAAAGGAAATTTAAAAAAAGAAATAAAAGTGGCCGTGGCCACAGATGGTAACTTTACGGGGTTTTGGAGATGTGGAGGAAAATTTATTAAATCCAAACTTCCACTTGGTGCCAGAGTCAAACAGGAGGCTGACCAGTTCTGATGCTCCGGAGCGCCTGTGTGCAACCGAGCAGAGCGCGTCCAAATTGAGAACACACGTTTCTCCTTATCATCTCACTACTCAGCCCCCGTATATGTTCTCATTAGTTCATAACAAACCATATTAGCCTATACAATTCCATTTAAAAATATGTCATTATTATCCGTTCGGTACCGAAGCTTCGGCATTTCCCCTGTGCCAAACAACAGCAGTCAGTGCATTTTTACGCACACAACTAAACTAAAAGTGCTTCAAAATTCACAAACAGAAAAAGCGCCAGGGATCTTTCCGATCCAAACTGTGAGATGGAAAACGGCTCTCCCGCCAAACCCGGTCGAGGAAGCTGAGTGGGCCAAATATACATAATAAAAAGAATAAACACAGGACACCATCCATCTACATCACAACTCCAGCCGCACGGTCCCTTGTTAAGCTCTCCTTTCTCAACCCCGCTGCCTCAGGTTAGATATTTAGCACTTAATAGTGCAGACTCAGCAGTAATTACAAGTTGCAGAGCTGCATTAGGACTTTCTGGTGAAAAAGAGCACAGGGCGCACAGAAGCGCTGAAGATGAAAACCCATTCACCAGAGCAGTGAAACTCGTGCACGATTCATGTCAAGATTTCCTAAAGAAAAAAGTCAATTCAAACTGAAGTGGGACAATCTCTTGTTATCTGTTGAAAAAACCCCACCAAGAAATGCAGGACAGTTGCTCACTAAATGCATAAAAAGCATACAAATCAGAATAAATCCACATCTTTCATGCATTTAAAAGCAGTGAAATATATTGTCTATTTTGTATTGTCTTAATTTACACATGGTAAGGATGCTCTGTGCAAATTGTGAGCAAGTGAATGTGATAATCTATAGTGTCAAAGGAAATCAGGTAAGTTACCTTGAAGACATCACATAAATGCCACTGAAAGGAGAGAGCGCTAGACATCCCCACGGGTCTCCGCAAGACAAAGCCCAGCGAAAATGAACTTGTTTGAAGTCATTAAAAACGGGGAGAAAGAGGATGAGATGCGGGCAATGTCACATCTCAATATTCCGACTTTGTTCCATTGCGCAGGCTCGTTTTGGAGAAGTGAGATTTAGCGAACAGGAGACGGATTTAGAGAGAAAATCCCTCACATTTATCTACATTACACAGACATTTTCAACAGGAAACAGCTGGGGCAGCATTTGCCTCCTACTCGTCCTAAGTTATTCATTAAGGATTTTGGGCACATATTCAAATAACGTCATTTCTCTTTTTTTCTCAGAACGGGATTGAATTTTGATCTCTCTTGGTTAGTAGTTCAGATCAAGCTAGAAAAAGCGGTGCTGCCCCACCAGCAGCAGCTCACACTTACACAGCACGCTATTTTATGCCCTGAAAGCTCACGATGGAGAAGTTAAAGACAAGCTGAAGGTTATGACATGACTGTTGGTTGCTGTGCGTAATTTGGCACCGCATAATACAACAGCCCTTCTATCCAAAGTCTGATTTGGTTCACGCTAAAATAAATCATTAAAAACAGTTTCTTCTTCCTCTATGTCACCAGTGTGCTACTAACTTGAATACATAATTAAAATTATGTGACTTTGTCACTGGAAATTCTTGTCAGAAATAAGTAACTTACTCTAATTTCTGAGTTGAAATTGAGTCAGTACATTAAGGTTTGTCTGCAGATTATATCTGATTCTTTTATGAACTGAGTGACTGATGTGAAAGAATGTGAAAAAACAGAAAACACACGGGAATTTATGAAGAAGACCATTAATATTTGACGTAGCCTATTTCAGATTTCAGTTGCCTCCTTGGAGAAAATTACAGAGCTGGATGCTACTGCACTGACAAACACCTGATGACACCCGAGCCATCCACCCCTCATCTTAAAGTAAGGGTCCCAGTGTTTCCACTGTGTCACAGAGCAACGATATACCACAGCTTCAAAGAGGCTGTTGTTTTCAGCCGTGACGGGATATCAGCACTGATCCAGTCACTAAACATGAGATCAGTGCAGTGGCCCAATCATAAAACAGGACACCAGCACATATCCCAGCATGCTTGGCCAGCGTGCTCAAGCGCATCACAAAGCAACGTCGGATGCTGAAGACACGCAGCATGGTTGTTGAGGTAAAGTGGGTCAAAATACATGCACGATCACATTTCCCCACATTACATAGACAGCACTGGACCACTCTCATGGCGCAGAGGCTACAACTCTCATCCAAACTTAAATGAGTGGTTTCCAACATGTGGGTTGGGGCTCCTGAAGGGGTCACAAGGTAAATGTGAGGGGTCACACATTTGAAAAGAAGAAAAAAACATTGCTGAAATGAAGTTGATTTTTTTATCAGAATATGTTGAACTTAACATTTTTGTTGTGAAATCCTGGATTGTTGTGTCATAATGATTCGAATGAAGACTCACTGATTTAATAATTCCAGAACAAAGAGAAATATCCTGTGTGAACTTCTCACAGGTCATAGTCCCATTAAACCTATGACGAAACTTTATAGTAGGCCTTGCTTCATTTGAAAGAGATAAAAGCCATAAATACTGGAAGACGTGATATCGATCTGTCTTTATATATCTTGTAGCTTTACATTAGAGTTAAAACAATTAGTCGATTGACAAATGAATTGGCAACCATTCTGGTAATAGATTCATAGTTTTTTTAGGCAAAAATGCCAAAAATTGTATTGTTTCAGACTGTTGTGTTTTTTAAACTTATTTTTGACATTTGATAGAGTAAATGATTAATTTATGGACAGTTGGTGGATTAAATTGCATATCTGCAATCAAAAGTTCAGCTCCTTATTGCAGACCTGACCACATGCAGGCCTGTGACCTCAATGTGATTTATCTTCCCCTCAGGGCTGCTGCTTGGAGACAAGATGTACACCCAGCAGTGTCTCCGTTTGCCTCCCCCGGTGGACTGCGCCACTGTCAGAAGCTGCTGATACACTGTGGAATATGATGATGATGCTCCTCTGACAAAGCTGCTTTCAGACCAGAGGATGACCTTGTTAGCATCAGATCAGGGACGTGGTCGGTCAATGATGCCCATAAGCCTCCCTGTCAGTAGCTGATCTTAGATGTAAATTATCTCATCTTTCACTGCCTCTTGAGATAACACCCACCCACCACACACACACACACACACACACAATCTAGCATGTAAATGCTTCATCACATACTGTGCTGTTATCTCACTGTAGCTGTGGTCTGGCAGTATTGATGATGGCTTATGCTGTACTATGCTGATGCGGTAGTAGGAAGACAAAAAAAGGGGGGGGCTGACCTTCCCTTGTTCGCCGTCTCTAATGCCCAGTGCTCTGACCTGTCTTGGTGCCAGGTTTCTCTCTCACCCTCCCTTTCTCCGAGTCTCTTTTCCCCCCCCCCCCCCCCCCCCCGCAGCCTTGTCTAAGGAGACGTCCACCCCAGTGAACTCATTGACCAGGGAAAGGCTTATTTTCACTCCCCTCTAGTGTAAGAAGGAGAATGTGTTCACTGCAAAAAATGTCCATCAAGGCATTTTGATCAGGAGTGAATTTTAAAATCACACTTTTTCTTCACTTATTTACCATGCATTTCCACAATTTATTGCCCAAAAGCAGTATGCAAAGACAGACACCTTTTGCAGCGTTAACAGCATCCCGTCTGGTCTATACGGCCAAACAAAAGTCAGAGTCAGAGGGATACACAGATACAGACAGCGGTGCAGAATGCAAATGAATGCGAGAGGATGAAAGTGAGCGGACGGAGGAAGAATTAGAGTGGATGAAAAACGAGATAAAGCGTTTGGTTTTGTAAAACCTGCGTGAACACCACGGTGCCGAGGGAGGATGGAGGGCTGTGTGTGTGGGGATTGCAGGGCTGGAACCCAAGATGGGAGGGAATGTGTGAGGCTGGGGATATGTCTGGGCACACACACAGGTTCACTTGAGGACACACACACACACACACATGCAAGCTCATGCACGTACGTACACACACTTGATTAGGAGAGCAATCCTTCTCTATTCTCTTGATTAGTCTGAGTGTTTTTCCAGCTCAGTGGGTTCTGTGTTATATTTCCTTTTTTATCAATTGACTAAAACAAAAAAAGCTTTGCAAAAACAATGAAAGTAGGGTATCTATTGCAAGTGATTGTAGGGGTAATTTGTGATTTTTTTGTGTGTGTTACTTTCCCAAGATTTGTGGTTTGAAAGGGTGTGGTGCGGGTGAACACCACACGAGTTTGTGTGTGGCACTGTTGTCGATGCATTCAGAGCAGATATTGTTATCTAAGCCCTCTGCTGTGCCATACACTGTTCATATGGAAGAAATAAAGGTGCGTCATGGAGCAAAAGCAAGAAATGGGGCGCTTGTTTTTAATATGCTATGTTTCCGTAGTAACTCGCAGGGGTCACAGTATTTTGGCAAAAAAGGACAGGAAATTCCGTGGTGCCTGTTGATGATCAAAAACTACTTTTTTAAAAATATGTCCGGGACAGTTTAACTGTTTATAAACGCTGAACATGCTGGAAGTTCCAAGATTTTCATCATATTGTGTGCTCTCACATCAGTTTCTTAGAAAACTAAACTTGGAGGCTGCAACCATGCATATTACTGAGAACAATAGAGCCACATTCCCAATGTGGACTCCAAACTGCAGAGGCACTGGTTGTTATTTACTGTGTTTCTCTGTTACCAGTCTATTAAGCTAATGTGATTGTGCCTTGTTCTGTATAAGGAACATACAATGGTGAGGTGGACCAAAAAGGGAATTTTAATTTAATTGAATGCAGATTCAAATTATCAGGTAATGCTGCACTATTCAATGTTTTTATTTCAAAACAATGGATCAAATGACGTGATGTGTGATATAAAAGGTGCTGCTCGTAGTGACAAATCCACAGAGAATTAGCTCCAGACAAGCAACTGTTTTTAGCTAAAAGGCTCAGATAAACCACAGACTGTATATAAAAAGCTGTATACTACTTGCTTTGCACCAAACCACACAGTTAGCAACTAACTGGTCAACAAAGTGGAGCATTCAGCAGGTAAAGAGCCAGAAATTTCACCCAGGAGTTGGCCCGCATGAGCTAAAAGGGAATAATGGACTTACACTAACCAAGTGGGCAGAAACACGACTCCAAATCAATGCTAATGTTACTGCTAGATGTGTTAATAAGCAACTGTTGCTAACAAGTTCACCATATCAACTTATAAGGCGATAATATTTGTTCCACGGTGGTAAGAGGCCAAAACCACTTATTGCAAGTTTAACCAGTTACTTTGAAAGATGAGTTTTAAAACTTCTGGACTATTGAATGTAAGTCCAATATTCATTCTTAGCTCTGTTTTTGGTCTCCACCAACTCCCAAGAAAAATATCTTGCTGTGCTGTGTTCACCAGTGATGGGCAGGCAGTGTACCTGGGTTTATCAGAGCTTTTTTGGTGAGAAAACGTTGCCTGCTGCAGCTGGAAACGAAGGTGATGAGTGAATAGAAAGAACCCTACAGTAAGTGTGCCAAAAAAACAAATGAGCTAGAAGAGACAAAACAATTGTCTCTTTGCTGCAGAATTGTGTGTTTGTTCTCTGTTGGTTCATTACTATGAGCGACCTCTTTCACATTAGAATAGTCCTTTGAATTATTATTATAAAAATATTGGTTGGCGGAGCTTTAAAGCAGTAATCCCCAAACTTTTTGGCTTGTGATCCCTTAAAACAAACCACTGTCTGTTTGCGACCCATCTTAACAAGTTCATGGCCTTTATAAGTTTTACTTTTGTCTTTGTTTACCTGGTATTTTAATCCTGTTCATGTCAGCACTTTCGTCAACGGCGGTGGTTTGGTGCTATATTAATACATTTTGACTGTTTTGACCTTGAGTTCTAAGAAATTAATTGGTTAAAGGTGGTTAAAGTTTCCAGTATTTCAAAAGAAAGAAGCATCTTGATACCCCTCAGATTCAGGTTGGGACCAACAACTGCAGGTGCAACACATGGCAGATACTGCAAAGACATACTGTATGTCCTAGTAGCTGTGTTTTTAAAGGCGACCCCATGTCTACTCCCTGTATTTGTGACACCACGGTAATCTCAAAACCTGTTTGAGCGTGCAAGCATTCTGTCTATTAAAAAATCCAGGAATATTCCACTGAGTCAGAAACATAAACACAATACTACTTGAAACTATACTTGAACAATAGCATATACGGTAATTACAGCCTTACTATGTGGTTTCAGTAAACACAACTAATCCTACAGAGACAAACTGCAGATGAGAGCCAAATATCCCCACAAAAAATGCAAAATCAGGACTTTTTAGTGTCAGCGATATCCCAGCAAACTGTCCGTTCCATCCAGCTTTACTCATAATGTGCAGCTTCATTTTGCAATTAGGGCTGGATGAGGGCCTGTGCGAGATATCTGAAATCATGTAGGAAAGTGTACTGTTTGTGCTGTTTACTTGTCCCACAACGAGGAGTGGTTTTGGGGGGTAAGGGCCACTGCTCCCTGGCTCTCTCTGGCTGGCTGGGGAGTGGGTGCGGTGCTCCCTTCTGCCCACCACCTGGCACGGGGGAGGCTATGTCTAGGAAAGAGACCTCTGCCAGGCCTCAATTACGGGGGGAATAATCCAGGACACACTGAAGCAATTACAGCTCCATATAAATCAATATGCTTTGGGTTAAAAAGTGATCTGCTCCCAACACTCTGGAGAGGCTCTGACTCAGTCGGCCTTTGATTTTTCTGAGAGATGAGAACGGTTTCTCTGAAATTGGGCAGAGCTGCTGCTCTAGCTGCTGTTGCTGTGGTTTAAACTGTCACTCAGGCTGAGTAAACAGTCAGGTGACACAGCTTGTGAGGAAGAGCAAAGGATAAATATTGATTTGCAGTCAGTAAGCCTGTATAAACAATCATTGGGACATTTATGCTGCATAAAGTTAAAAGCTCCATAAACAAAACAAGCTTCCCAGCAAATTACATTGTAAACACACGTCTTTATGCGTGCTATACTGAGAAACGAGATATGGAATGCAAATGAAAAATGGACACAGTTATTTATGTTTTAGGAGGCTTGCAGGGTCAAGAACCTCCAACACAAGCGGAGGCAGCAGGGGGCAATACTGACAACTCTCCCTAACCCTGAAGTACAGCTGCTGAGCCCTGCTGCTCATTATCACTGCTATACTGCCATCTTCTGGATGAAGACTACCAACTAAACACTGGAGCGCATTACTAGACCCACTCTGGTGGATAAATTAAACACAGCACATGAATTTGTAAGGTCGCAACAAAAGATTACATTTATGGGCAAAAATGTGTTTTTCTTGTTGTTACTTAACTCAGCTGTTTTCACATTCATCTGCTAAAGGGGGAAAGTTTCTCTGTGCTCACCTGAAATCTTTAACACAAATACGCACAAGTTGATTATATGATATCCCAACTACTGTGGAGGCCACTCATGCAACACAGAGAAGTGTGATGTGGAAACGTAAATCCTCCGGTGCACATAGAAGAGAATGTACTCTGCAGGAGACATCTTGTGTTTAATAGGTAAACTTTTGAAATGAACAGTATTTGCATATTCACATATCTTTAATGTTTCATTGTAAGATTCTAAGTGAAAGAGTAAAAATGAAGGAAAGTGTCAAATTCACCTCTGAATCAGTGTTATTTTCAGTTTTGTTTTAATTTCCATGTATATAAAGAGCATTTCTTTACTCAGTGACCATATCGATTTTACTTGTTTTGTTTTACTACGGCTAAAATGATGTTATTATGGATTTATCTATCAATTATTATAGCTAATATTCTATTAGTAATAGAATAGTCAAAGGTCTCATCTAAAATGTATTTTTCCAACCAACATGTCCAAAACTCTAAAGATAATCTATTTAAATAAATATAAAAGGGATGCAACAAATCTTCACATTTTAAAATTAAAAAAATATATATTTATCATTAAAAGTGCTGTCAATTTCTTTTCTATTTTCTGTCACTTCACTAATCGATACGCTGGCAAACCTTTTCAGCACTATTTCTTTAAATAAAAATAAAGGGAGTATGTATTACCATCAAGATAGATTTATTTCTTAAGCTTTGTAAGCATAAATGATTCATTGTCTTTCAACATATACATCATCCTTACACATCATCATTATGCTTTATTGTACATGTGAATCAACACAGTAAAGCAACATGGGGGGAAAAGAGCACCACATTAAAAATTGGTCAAAATAAGAAATAAGGAACAAATTAAGAGTGTTTCCAGCTCAGAACTTAAACAACCTGCATGAACATACAATGCTTTCTACTGAAATTCTATTCTAACTTCATTGGTGAATGACTGTTCGATTTTCACATCGTGACTGAGCGAGTGTTCCCAAAGGGACTTTTTATGGAGGAATGCTAACCCACACTCTTCACATATGTAGCTCTTTGCCTTCCCAGTGTGAGTCCGCCGGTGTTTCTTCATGTGATAAGACAACCGGAAGCCTTTATCACATATGTCACATTTAAATGGCTTCTCTCCTGTGTGGATGCGCATGTGCGACTTCAAATATCCCGACTGAATGAAGGCTTTCCCACACTCTTCACACTTGTACGGGCGCTCCCCGGTGTGATACCTGTTGTGGAGCCGGAGCTCGTTGGCGGTCAGGAAGGTCTTACCACACACTGTGCACTGGTGCGGCCTCTCACCTGTGTGGATGAGCTCATGCCTCTTCAGGGACGTCTCCTTCATGAACTGCTTCCCACAGCTGTTGCAGGGATACCTGACGCCAATGTGGATTTGTTCGACGTGGTTCGTCAGCTGCAGCTTTGTGCGGTACGCCATGTCGCACTGTGTGCAGGCCCAGGGTCTCTCCTCGGAGTGGGTTCCCATGTGCACCGTGAGCTCCGAGGCCGAGCGGTAACACTTTCCACATTGCCAGCACAGGAAGGGTTTCTCCCCGGTGTGTTTCCTCTGATGAACCGTCAGACAGTTGGAAGACCTGAACTTCTCTGGGCACATGTTGCAAATGTAAGGAAACTCTCCTTTGTGGATTCTCTGGTGAATTGCGAGGTAGGACAGCTGCATGAAGGTTTTGTCGCACTGAGCGCAAGGATACGGTCCGGTGAAGTCGTGCTGCTTCTCGTAGTGTTCCCTCAAGCGCCTCAGTAAAGTAAAATTCTTTTCACACATCGTGCACTGCATCGGCCTGTGCATGAGTTTGTGCCTCTCGAAAGCAGGCTCGTTGGCGAGTATCTTCCCGCACTCTTTGCAGTAGAGCGGATCGTGAATCCTCTGGTGCACCTTGAGCATGGTCATGCTCTTAAATTCTTTCCCACAGTCATCACATTTCATGATTTCACTCACTTCCATTTTGCAAACGTTTTCTTGGTGCTCCTTCAGAGCTGACGGATATTCAAAGTGTTTTCCACAGTTTGAACACCACACAGGTATTTTGAGAGGTTGGGGGTCAGCGCTGGCTACTTCGCTTTGGCTGGGCCCTGCTCTTGGCTCCTTTTTCCATGAGAATCGGGCGATTTTCTTATGGCAAATGGCATAAATCTGGTGTCTTTTCAGCCCATGCATGTGTTTAAAACGCTTCTTGCAGTGGATGCAATGATAAGGCCGGTCCTCTGTGTGACATTGTATGTGCCTGTTCAGTGTTTTGATACTGTCGAAAGCCCTAGAACAGACAGGGCATACTTTAAGGCCTTTTTTATTTACTTTTTTCACAGGTGCAGTTGGCAACTCCTCAGACGTGTCTGCAGGTGCATCCGGGTTAGTTTGTCTTTTATTACCTGTATCACTACAAGTGTCAGCTTCAGCCAAAATCTGTTCCACCGTCTTGCTCTCTTCCTCTCTGATCCCCTCGTGACCATGAATAATCTGGTGCTTCTTCAATGTGTCCTTGTACTTGAAGCCTTTCTCACAGGTGATGCAAATGAAAGGACGCTCTTCTGTGTGAGATCGTAAATGCTTCGCGATGTCCGCAGTGCACGGTAGGATCCTGCTACAGATGGGACAGACTTTGCCCTCTGTCGACCTCTCTGACGGTGGCTGTGGATCTGAGTGCTGTGTCTCTCTCCTCTTCGGCCCTTTCAGCTCTCTGCTCTTACAAATCTCTTTCTGGTGTCTCTTTAAAACGTAAGGGTTCTTAAATTTCTTCTCACAGAAGGAACAGTTGTATGGGCGGTCCTCTGAGTGGGACTTCATGTGTCGCTCCATGTCAACTTGACGGGCAAAATACTTCCCACAAAGAGTGCAATTTTTGTTTTCAGACATCTCAGAAGTGCTGGGATCTCCCGAGTCCTCTTCTTTAGAGCTGTTAACCATCTCGTCCTTTTCATGAACGCGCATGTTGTGTCGGTTCATGTCATAATGGTCCCTGAATCGTTTGTCACAGTTGGCGCACTTGTATTTCAAATCCCGATTGGCAGAATGAGTTTCCAAGTGTCGTCTCATGGCTGCAGCTCGCAGGAAAATCTTATTACACACAGGACATGTCTTATTATTGGGGTATTTTTTTCTTTGCCTCTTAGCTGCCGAATCTTTCTTTTCTTTTAAAGCTTTCCTCTTTAACTGGAGCCTTTTGCTTTGTTTCAGTGGTTGAAAAGCTGCTGGCTTTAGGGTGTCACTGGCATCCTCATTTGTTTCGTCTCCAGCCATTCCTTCCTCGTTTACTTCATTTTCTTCTGGATAATCAGGCTCAACCAAACTTGATGGCTGTTCGATCTGTATGTAGTCCAAAAGTGTCACAGTTTCACCCTCCACCTGGACAGTCACACAACCTTGCATTGGCTCTGATGGAGGTTGTAACTGTATTTGTTCTGTGTCAATTACAACCTTCTCCAGCTGAGGGAGGGACAGCGAGGAAAGGATGCAATTCCCAAAGGAAGAAGGAATGGTCTGAGTATCATCTGTGGGGAAAATAAGAATTCCATAAGCGTTATGGTAAGCAAATATAAACTAAATTAAAAACAGTTGATGCACATATTCACACTGTAACACTAACCAGAAACTCCGTTTTCTGCATAACCCAAAACTTGTGTTTTATTCTCAAGAATCCATAATTCAACCTTCATCCCTGCACACAGTGACATTGAAGTTGAGGTTGTTCAATCTGGTTGGGTAGCAGTGTCACTTTTAATATCATATACGAACAACGAACACAATTATAAGTATATCCGTGTCCACCAAAGCTGGTAAAAACGTTTTTTACCCAGCGGTCCAATCACAGTCCAAACACCACACTTGAATGAAACGATGTTCCTACTCGCCGAGGTGTTTCCTCGCCCGCAAAATTTCATGAATCCACGTACGGACAGTCTGTCCTCTCACGTTTCAGCCTTCTGTTCATGCAGAGCAAGAACGCCTACCCTACTTTGTGGTGACATTTTTACATTCAGTAAAATTAAAGAGGTGGTATTATGCTAATTTTCAGGTTCAAAATCTTATTTAGGGGTTGCACCAGAACAGGTTTACTTTTCAAAAACACCATATTTTTTGTCATACTGCACATTGCTGCAGCTCCTCTTTTCAGCCTGTGTGTTGAAGGCTTCGTTTTAGCTACGGAGTGATTCATCTCGTCTATAAATGAACTTTGTTGGGAGTTGCACATGCGCAGTTCCTAGTTAAGGACTACTAGCCAATCAGAAGCAGAGAAGGGCGGGTCAGCAAAAAGACGGTAAACAGCTTTGATTCAGCTGTAGGCTACATGTTGCCGACCAGGTTGGCAATATGGACTGGAGCAAGAGTTTCAGAGTGGTGAGTTATTAATCTGTAACAAAAGTATCTTTCATCCATAAAGTTTTAACTGAGCTTTGTCTCTACATCACTGTAACAACTTCATGTGCATTGACTGCTTGGAGAGTTATTTGGCTTATGTGTTTCTCTAAAACCGCCTCAGTAAATACTGTTCATCATCTGTGAATGGTTGTGTTTTGCTGTGTGTTTTATTTCTGTTTTTTTCCTGATGTACTCAGATCTCTTCTGCAAAAGAGATAACCTAAATGAGTTTCAATAAAATAAAGTAAGTTATAATAGTGTGCATGCAGCACAGGTGTGACTCACCAGATAAATCAAAATGTCCAAGTGTCGTGTGGTATAGGAGCACAGTTTTCAGGTGCTGTGGGTCAGGAACAGAGTGCACACACTCCTCCAGGGCGGATGGGACAGCACTGAGCATGGACGCAGTCTAGGGAAGAGATATACAGTAAAATAAGATCATGAAAATTGAGCTGAAGACACACACTCATCAAACTCTGAACCCTGGGCATTTTAGCTTGTTTTTTTTCTCTCTTTATTTATGGGCTTTTAACAGCATCACTACATGACAGGCATTCCACATATTGTAAATTTCAGATGTATGAACTGCCATCTGGTTGTACTTAACATGTTTACTGTTTTTATGCAAAAAGAACAAACAAACACACATGACAAATATCTGTTAAGATAATTAATGTTCCAGGAATATAAGAACCTTGTTGATGGGACATTCTGAGCTTTAGTAATGTTAAAATTGCAGCATTAAAAGTATGCTGAATAAGCCATTAGCAGTTCCTGTCTGCATTGTATCCATGGATGTACAGACAGATATACAAACTTAAAAATCTGATAATTCCCAGGCAAATTCCATAGAAATAAAGCGTCTTTTTTCTAAAAGCTGATTTATAGATGTTTATTTGCAATAGACGTCCTCTGGAAGTGTAATTCACACTGAATCTAAAAATAGTTTTGGGTTTGACTGAATTATGACCCTGAGGCGGAGTGTTTCAATTAATTTCATTAACCTTTGATGTTGGTGAGGTGCACTGTTATTCTTCCAGCCTACCATCAGGTTCCTTTTTATACCTAAAGTCGATCAGGCTGCTAAAAGAAAGATGACTTTGCTGATCACTAAGGTTTAGTTTTCCACTCTGGTTCCAGTACCTGCTGAATGTCTGGTACTGGAAGAAACTTCTCCAGTCTGGACAGGAAATCCAGCATTAGCACCTGCAGAGCGCTGTCATAGTCAGGCCCAAAATCCACAGGAAAAACATCCTGAAACAAATAATCACCATTTACAGATTAATGCTTAAATACCCTACACAAACTGCATAGTATCCATAATATCTCCATAATATCCTGTTGAAGTCAAGATTGACTATAAATGACATGATTGATAACACAAACTGAAAGACACAAAAAACAAACCTGGAAAAACTTTTCCTTCTCTTCAGCGTCTTTCAACAGCAATTCAACTTGATCCACAAAGTTTGATTCTGGAAACTCAACCTCTGCAAAACATGGCTAGAACAAAAATATCCACGGATGTAGATGAGGCAGAAAAAAATATATAACTTGATGGAAAACAAATTACATTTAAAAGAAGCCAACCTGTGCTGCCCAAGTGGACACAAGGGCCTTGATCCGCTCCAGGTGCATCTCGATGGATTCTGTGTCAATTATCTGCTCGGCCCGACACAATTCAAGAACCACCTGTAACAAATGGTTTCACATCAGGGTAAATGCAACTGACAGTACAACACCTGGACATGTTATTCAACTAATAGACTAACAAGACTCAGCATTGTAAAATGACATTAATAACTCTTTACAGATGAGACATACAGTGCCTTGCAGGTAAAAGAAATATTAAACTCATCAACTGCACCTTTACTATCTGCCAGGCAATAATTTAGCTTCTATTATTTAGATGCTGTAAATTTTTAAGTGATGTTGGCATGTTTATAACCATTACCAAGTGAGTCAAGGGGACTACACAATAATATGTTTTTACGTCTACAAGAAGCAAAACCAAATGGCAGTTTTACACACTGCATGTCCTTATAAAAACCATCAAACTACTTTGCAGTCTTACCCGTGCTCTCAGTCCCAAAAGGAGTTGGGCTTTCTGATCTGCATTCAAAAGTTCTGGTACAATTTCTGAAACTGTGCTGATGAACTCCTCCACCAGCCCATAGTCCTGCACATTCCCCCTCTGGACGACCTGCCACATGGCTGCAGAAACCAGGCGCAGAGGAGGTATGAAGAGGCGAAGAGACGGCAGCAGAAGAGGCAACTCTGGAATATATTTTACAATGTCAAGATGTAAATTGTCAATCAATGTTTATATTAGCCGTCAAATAACACATACAAGTCACCACACAGGTGTTGCTAAAATACATTTCTTTGTCTAGCAGAGTAAATAACTGTAAATACAACAAGATACAGGTCTTTCATGGCCAGATTAATCCACTTGGTGGGAAATGAGCAGTAGGACTCAATGAATAAATTTGCCGATTGACAGAATATTAATCAGTTATTTTGGTAATCAATTAATCATTTTATTCAAGTAAAAAGTTTGTGATGACAATTTAAATATCTTTTGCTTTTGGACTTCTGACTGAACAGAAGAAGTGATTTGAATACATCAACTTAGGTTTGGAAAAGTATGTATTTACTAACAGTTTACTGAGCAAAGAACTCATGAAACGAATCAGCAAGTTAACGGAATTCCAAATCGGCAAATAAACCTTTGTTTTGGCCCTTATTCAGGGTCAATCAAGTACAGTACACATACAAATTGCTACCTAAAACTAAAATAAGACTAAAACGAAAAAAATAGAAAGTTTACAAGACCAATTAAAGACAAGATTAAAAAGCAAAAGTGACAGGGATGTGACTATTTGCAGCAAAGTTAACAAGTCTGGAATATATAGTGTACAGCTGACTAATATATGATACTTGGTGTTTGTCTGTATTAAAATAGAAATGTATTATAGGATATAATGTAAAACAGTTCAAGATATTATCATAACATAGAATAATATTGTATGGAATATACAATATAGTATAAAGTGAGATGTGGTGACATAAAATAGTACAACATATAATATCAAATAGGAGTTTAGTACACTATATAATAACAAAATATATCAATAAGTGACAACATCGACCCACAATTTAATGTTTGCTAATTATTTAATATTATTTCGCAGTTGTTTTATCAATTATACTAGAATAGCTTCCTGAATGTGAACCTCGGGCCTTTGGGGTCCCTGGTGGGTCTGTGGCCCCGGGTCAGCTACCCTGGCACACCATCTTACCCTCCCACCTCCTGAAAGCTGTCCCTGGTTGCCTTCAAGGCCTGGCAACTGTGTCGTAATTTCGACTCACCGCAGCTGAGCACCCCAACAGAGTAATAAATATGGCTGCGGTAGTCGTGACTTTCTATGCTAACATGCCCAAGTTGCAGAAATGGTAAGGGCGATACACTTTTTTTAATATGACAATACATTTTGGCATTTCATTTAAGAAAATGACTTGGCTGTGTTTCCCGTTTTATTTTTGTTTTTAGCCACTAGTAGCTAACGTTAACGTTATGCAGCTTTAGTTAAAGCCCACGAAGGCAGCATCTGTCATCCGTTGCAGAGCTCATTTTCAGTTGCTAACTAACGTTAATGCTAGGTCGACAGTTAGTTACGTTAAATGATTTCTGTTACGATAAGATATAATTATGGATTAACTAGCATACCTAGCTAATAACTAGCTTAGCTGACGTGAAGCTCCTTCCGATAGCTATCGCACACATCAGCCTGCTAACGTTAGCGCGGTAGCACAAAGCCACCGCCATCTCAGAGCGGGGTACGCCATGTTCAAAATCGGGCGCACACAATCCAAAAGAAAACCTAATAACTCTCGATGGGACATACACGTTTGAGTTGTCTTTGGCTTACCGTTGTCGATGCGATGTGGGCTCTCCATTTTATGTCGAAAAATATTCAATTATGTGAGCAAATCTACTCGGGGTTGTTGTGAGTCGACGTCCGCCCGACCCTGCGGTGCAAGTTGGCGGGGAGGAAGGGCGGCTCGATATTCTGCTGTGAGTGCGCAGGCGTAGTCTATATACCTTTCACTGGTTTCATTCAGTAGCTGCGTTCTATTACAGGTCCATGTCTACTCATACGACCTGCTAAGATATATAATGTGTTATCTTAAGCCAAGAAAACGGCACTGTGCAATAACTTGACCAACTTTGTGAGACTCTGCCAGGGAAACATGTTCTTCTTCTTCGCCTCGGGAATGTCGCGCTGCTATGATCAGTACTGACCCCTAGAGGCCATTTGGTGGAAATGGGGCCCAAACATTTAAATTTTAAGACGTCGCATTTTTAGTGGCAAATTATTTCCATTTGTTAAACGTAAAGATAAATAAGTAATTTAAACTCTTTAATCACATTGATAAGTTATTGATTATGTTATTGTAGACTGCCTGTTGAAGTTATTTTCGCGTTGATTTATGACGATATTCCTTTTAAGGAGGGGAAAATTAACTATCTATGATTATTGTCAGTTGTGATAGACTATAAATTAAATACATGTAGATATTATACATTAGGGCTACAACTAACAATTATGCGCACTATTTACTAATCTGCTATTTTCTTGATTAAAAGCTTAAATAATAAATAATAAAAATGCCTCTCATGTTTCCGTAGTCCAGCTGACATATTCAGATTGTACGACTGATGGTCCAAAACCCAAAGATATTTTGTTTAATATCACAGACCAGTAAAGAAAATACAATATTCCGAATTTGTGGCGCTGGAACAAGTGATTTTTGTCAATTTTGCCTAAAAAGGTCTTGTTGCGGTTTAAATTCCTTTCATTTGATTAATCGAATAAGCTCATTGTTACAGTTCTGTCATATACTAACCTAGATAATAAATTAGTGTGCCATGTAACCATTTTCAAATATTTCATTTTTTCACTTTTAAAATGTTGCCTCAAGGACAATGCAACTTGAGATAAAAATGCATTGTGAATAAAATCAGTGGACTCTTGACCTGCCATTACCTGTTTTGTTAAAAGGGAAAATGTTTTTCTCAGCATTACAGGTTTCCTTAATGCAATTAATTACTGGAAGAAATGCCTCTTAAGTTACCATGGAAAGAGCAGACTTAATATGCATTAGCAACACAATATGTGGTGTGGTATATGGTAATGTCATGTTGGCACAGCCTGTTACAATCTGTACATCCTGACTATTAGCAAAATTGCCTAAAAATATTAATTTATTATGTATAAAAAGTCACAAGACAATTTTAAATGTCCTACCTGTCAACCTAATTTATTTATTCACACACACACACACACACAAACACACACACACTGGCTCCCTTCATGAAGAAATGGTGCCAGTTTCTTTGGTGCAGTGTATTCCTGTGGAGACAGGAAAAAAGGAATCCCCCCCCGCATACAGGCAACACAGCCAAACTCTCCTCCAGACGTTTTATGACCTTGTATTTCTTCATCAGGCAGACTACAGACGGTCCACTGGCTTTGTGAGGGAGCTGTCATGACTTTTAGTACCTTGAGCCATTTGCTTGGTAGAAGTAAAGGGATCAATAAAACACCCTGGTGCTGGGCTGTGGCCAGATTGTCACATTTTTATTCAAGGGATGCTGCAGTGTCCTTGTAAAATAATAAAGTTATTCTAAACTAAGTTGTTGTCTGTTATTTCTGTGTTGCTGTAGCCTGTATTGTCCCCTATTTTGTTCCACATGTTTCTTTCAACTTCTGAGAAAGTTTTATAATGCTGACTTTAAGACCCCGCGGAAACCCTGCAGGACGTCTACCTGACAGGTGCTGTTATCAGAGCAGCTCCTTTAATCTGTGTTTGATTGTCTGAGTGACAGAAAGTGATGGTGAATCTCAGGAGGAAAATATTCTGGCAGTAAAAGTATGTTAAAAATCCATTGTGGTTTTGAAACAGACCAATTAAAGAATGAGACGCAGATTGCAGGTTGTCCACACACAGAGGAGCAGGTGGAGGTGGGGCTTCGTACCGTGGCCCTGCTGGAGGCGCTCTCCTCCTTGTTGGTGGGCAGAGCCGCTTTTTCGGGAGCGAGGCGAGGAGGCCGGAGCCTTATGGCAGGACTTGGGAGGCTTGGTCTGGGAGCATTCGTACTCCTACAGGAGTAGGAAGTGATATTAGCCTCTGCAGTGATGTCACCCATCAGCGTGTGTGAGTGCGTGCCTCATCTTGTGGACCCCATCACAGCTGGCCTGAACGTGCTGCAGAGGCTGAAGGATTGGGGTCTGAGTGAAGACTGGCGCAGACAATCAATCAGCTATCAATACCTCCTGAAACGATCAATAAGCCTTGTGTGTACTGCCAGCTGTTCTTGGTGTTGCTCAGGCTCAGCTTCAGGTTGTCCATGAGCTCCAGGATCTGTTCCAAGGTGAGCTGAGCCAGTTTACTGCTGGTACAGCGAAGACTGAGAACAGTAGCAGACAGGACAAGGCCTTCGGGTGTTCTGAGAACACAAAGACAAAGGAGTCAGAGGACTGATCAGACTGGAGGACAGGGACCCTTTCCTGGACACCACTCACCTTTATATTTAAGGTGCTGCAGGATTAGGATGATAGTCTCCAGGAGGATGCTTTGAGCCAGGAACAGCTGTCAGGTGCTGTACTGCTCAAGGTCTCCCAGTTCAGAGACTAAACTGTGGACACAAGAAGCATGAAGAAGAAGACGACACGAGGACAGGTGTCCTCTGAGAGCCTCTCACTGAGGATGTTGAGCACAGTCCTTCCTGAACATCACCAGGGTCCCCATCAACATGTGACACATCAGCTCCTGCAGCTGCAACACAGAGTCCTGCTTACTGAACACAATCTGGATCAGAACCAGCAGAACCAGACTAAAGGTTTTGCAGAGGTGTTTTTGTTATGTGTGTGGAGTCAATGACAGCTACGATCATGTTGAGCCGCTCACCGCTCCGCAGTGTCTCCTCTGGGACCTGAACCGAGATAGAAACATTCAGATCTGGATCTGTGTGTGTCGGTGTAGATGGAGGGGACGAGGTAGCAGAGCAGCCGGACGTCGTCCTCCTGACACGCCTTCATGTTTCATGTAATTAACAAGCTGGCATGCGGTGCACCTGCTACAGTGAAAAAGGATCAAGGGTGAAAATTACGGAGCCAGAAAAATTACGAGTTCTGTGTCTTTTCTGCGACTTTATAAAACATAACCTACTGCCTATGGAGAAACTCAGGGGAGCAGTGCAGTGGCAGTAGGAGACCTGAGGTAAAGGTGTGTGTGAGTGCAAGGAGAATTCGAGGCAGGTGCAAAGCAGGCACATTTAGAAATAACAAAAATAATGTCCGTGGGGATTAAAACATGCTTTTGAAGGGTGTAAAATGTAAAACATTTTCCAATAAAGTAATATGCCATTCCACATGATTTTGGAACATTGTTATTACCACATCTGTGAACAACTAGCAGAGTAGGATTTTGAATAAACTACACCCAAAAGCTAAACTTGCTAAATAAGTCTACATACAGTAATGAGCAGACTTACTGGTTGTGTAGCAGTGGATAAGACACACGCCTTTGGTGTGAGAGACCTACGTTCGATTTCCATGTGACAGATCCATCAATGTGTCCCTGAGCAAGACACTTAACTCCTAGTTGCTCCAGAGGCGTGCCACCTTTAATATATATATAGCAATTGTAAGTCGCTTTGGATAAAAGCACGAGTTAAATGACTAAATGTATTTATTATATAAGTGGAATACACTCCACCTGGTTCACTTCACTGGCCCCACCGCCCATTCAGTACTAAGGTCTGCTGACTTTGCTTGGTGTAAGAAGCGAAGATAAAAGAACCAGTAACGTTGCAGCTTATCAATACCAACAATACAATCTTTAATAATTTAGCCCTGGGGCTCATTTACTAACCATCCCTAAAAGAAACAACAGTTTGTCAAGACCAACACATACAGCAATGTTTCTTTAACTTAACATTACATAAAGCTAATGTAACTCCGTTACACTAAAGTTAGCTTGATTAACATTAACCAACTCCTCACATGTGGACTCTGACATTTTAACTGATATATGGAAGATAACAAATAATACAACAAAATTACTCTTCCACAATGACAATATTAACGTTACCTCTTTCCAACATGGTCTAGTTTGACATTAACAAGTAACGTTCAGTAACATTACTTGTCAATTTCATGGCACATTTAAGCTAGCCATCAACTCGATCACGTTAGCCATTCGGAATGCTGTTTAAAGATAAAACCAGCCAGCTGGAGTTTATGGTGAACATCAATATCAAGTTATTTTACAACACTGCTTCTGTGATCCACTATTGTGTCTCTGAGCAAGACACTTAACCCCTAGTTGCTCCAGAGGGGTGCGACCTCTGAGATGTATAGCAATTGTAAGTCGCTTTGGATGAACGCGTCAGCTAAATGAATAAATGTAAATGTAGCTGTGTTTACAAATGTGTTGCAGCTGATTGGGTAACACCTCTGACACGCCCACCAAACAGGAAACCCATGTTGCACAATGTTAATTGAAAAACTGTTAATTAATAACTAACTAGTGTTTTTTTTTCTGTTCTGTGACTTTATTTTATAATCCTACACTGAGATGATCGGAGGCACTAACTTATGTGGAGTCAGTTTGCCGCATTCCTGTTATGCTAACGTTAGCAACTGTGTCTGATACCTTTCCAGACAGTCGCACTTGGGGCTGCTGTGTTTTTACATGCGCTTTGGTCTAATAAGTGAAAAAGTTCTGTTTTCAGGCGCAGTAATGTTAACAGAAAGGCTAATGTTGCTTGAAGTTAGCTGGCTAACACAATGAGGTAATGTTGATGTTCACTTCGCACTGAACTGCTGTAACTTACTGGTTAACGTTACTTTAGTCCTATAACGTTACTGTGGAGACAGTCAAGCTCTGCCTTCATATAAGTTAACAAGCTGTTTTTGAATGCAGTGTTTGTAGTGAGATGTACGATTCCTCAAAGAATAAAAACATTCACAATGTGTAACAATATAGAGCCTATAGTTTCAGTAATATAGGTTAAATATGATATGAAAACCCCTGCAGTTGGGAGATTTTCAAGTCAGATCAGTTGGAACTGTGTAATTATTATGTTTGTATGATAAGTATTTAATATGTTTATATTTAACTTATATCTGTTGTAATCTGTTTTAATAGAGCTGTCCTCTCAAGTGAACCTCAGTGCTGAGTTTCCTGGAGCT